ATCAGGCCAGAGTGGGGCTTCCCCAGGGCCAGGGGTTGGCCTTTTTCGGCTTGCCAAATACCTTGGGCCAAAGCGAGCCAGCAGGGGCTTCGGGGGGGGGAGTGAAAGCAAAGGTGGAGTTTGCCCGAGAAAAACATATAGCTGGTCAGTTTAAGGTATTTCATAAAACACCTTTAGGCTAAGGGTCTTTTTTGTTTTGCTTAAGATCGAAAAATAGTCATCATCCAAAATATAATGTTGTTGAAGAATGAGTATTAGCATTCTTGAGAAATTTGAATTATTTTTCAGATATTTCCCAAGTGATGTCTAACGGAGCAAGGAGATTTTTCACAGTATTTCTTTTTTATTTTATTTTATTTTTTACTTCTGGAGAAAGTCTCATTTCTTTTAATTTGTCTGGAAAATATATGTTTTTTTTCTCAAAATAACTGGTAAAATATAAAAATGTTGTGTCGTCTCATGGCAAATTCAAAATAAAAAATTATTAAAAACAACTCCCAGCACTTAGCAAATGTTTGAAAATTTAATTTAATTTAATTTTTTTTTAATAAAAAAATAAATAAATAATCACAGGAGGGCTAATAATTTTGTCTTCAATAAAAAATAAAATAACAATAGTAATTATATAAATCTCATCATGCTCTGAGTATGCCCGAGTCTGGTAAAGATGGTTTGCCACCGTTACATTAGTTTTCTGATCACGCATAAGTAGGCCACATGAGCCAAAAAATACATATAAGGGAACGAAAAACACAGCTACTGGTCAGTTTAAGCTATTCCATAAAACATCTTATGGGGGTCTTTTTGTTTTGCTCAAGATCATCCTCATGTTTTCCTTATAAATTTAAGGCTGTTGCATAAAATGATAAAGATTTAATTTAATAAGTGATATTTATTTGCTGCGTCCAACTTGATGTTTCAAGAACGCATAATAATCTTTACACCACATTAAAGACACAGCAGCCAGTAACTTTCAGGAGTCGAGTTTGATTCTGAAAATTCACAAGAGTTAATATATTTTTATCTAAATATAACCCACCAGTCCTACTGCACCCAACCCGCTTTGAGGTGGGATCCAACCGGTGATTTACTGTTTGAGAGTCAGTTGCTCTAACAAGAAGGCTAAAGACCATGGCCTATAGCGTCTGTTGCTAGAGCAACTTTAGAGGTCAGAGGAGTGAGGTCTCCCTGCATACAGTAGCACTAGCTGGCCTCCGTTACATACATTTAATAGGGAAACATTTATTTGAAAATATAGTATTATTTCACTACAGTATGTTGCCATTTTTAATCTATTTTTGATCAAATAAGTCTTGGTAAGCAGATTAGGCTTTTAAAACAATCCCAAACAGTTGATTGGAAGGGTATCTTAGAGCCTGTCCAATAAAAGAAGAACCCTACTAGTTTAGGTTTTCTTTGAGACAGTGTAAACTCACTCTGATACTTTGATATCCAGTTGATTAAGAAGAAAAACACAAGCCATAAAAACTATTTAGTCTGCAATGCTACAGTATCACCTAATAAAATGGCATTTGCTTACAATACGCACTGCAGCATCAATGGCTCTGTGGGCAGTTCAAGTGTTGCAGTCGACATAATTAGAGTCATATCAATTGAAGTTTCCACTACTGAGCTGGCGCACACACACAGATGCAAACACAGCTCGCTACTCATCAATTCCAATTACCTTTGCTCTTACATCAGGTTCATTTGACATATTACTCAATAGACCACAACAAAGTTGAAATGAGGACTCCTGCTGGGACTTTTCCCCTCACACACAGATTTAGCTTGAGGTGCTGGAGTGCCCACTGCGAACAACTACCAGCTACTGCACAAAACTACCACTTAGGTCTCTGAGGTCGAGCACCACACATAGCTGGCATTCCAGACACTTAACCAAAAAGAGGGAAACTCAAGAATACACTTAAAAATCCCCTTTTTGGAATATGAAATGGTCTGCTTGCATGCAGTTCATTCATTTATGGTCTATAGAGTGTTTTAAATCATCCTAAAAAGACAGCCTATTTATGTGCATTGATATGTGTATCTATATTTTGTTTTAAAAATACTCATCCAATACAATGTGAAATTATTATTTTTTTTTCAAATATTTCCCATGTAATGTTTAAAGCAGCATTTTTCACAGTATTTACTTTTTTATTTTATTACATCTGGAGAAAGTCTGATTTCTTCTAGTCTGGAATAAACAGTTGAAGTCAGATTTATTCGCCCTCCTTTGAATTTTGTTTTCTTTTTTAAATATTTCCCAAATGATGTTAAAAAGAATAAGGAAATTTTCAGTTTGTCTGATAATATTTTTTTTCTGGAGAAAGTCTTATTTGTTTTATTTTGGCTGGAAGGGTTATTATTTTTTAACATCATTTTAAGGACAAAATTATTGGCCGTGCACTTTAAGCTATTTTTTTCATTAGTCTACTAATAACTTGCCTAATTACCCTAACCTGCCTAGTTAACTTAATTAACCTAGTTAGGCCTTTAAATGTCACTTTAAGCTGTGTAGAAGTGGCTTAAAAATATATATAGTCAAATATTATTAACTGTCATCATGGCAAAGATAAAATAAATCAGTTAATAGAAATGAGTTATTAAAATTATTATGTTTAGAAATGTGTTGAAAAAATCTCTCTGTTAAACAGAAATTGAAAAAATAAATAAATAAACGGAGCTAGTAATTTAGGGGGGCTAATAATTCTGACTCTATATGTTTTGTTCTCAAAGATAACTAGTAAAATATGAAAATGTTGTGTAGTTTCATGGCAAATACAAACTAAGATATTATTAGAAGCAACTCTCATAATCTAGTAATTTACAGCAATAATTTAATGTTTGAAAACAAATCAACTAATTAATTAATTAATTAATTAATTAATAATCAAATAAAAATTCATAATAATAATAATAACTTTGTCTTAAAAAAATAATAACAATAGTAACTATATACATTATATGAATCATCTTAATATGTGATGATAAATCCAGGAGAAACTTTTCAAAATTGCCCTTTAAGTAATTTTCTTCAAAAAAAAAAAAAGTTAAATTATTTAAAAATTAATAATATAAAAAAGTAATAAAATAAAGCATAATATAATAAACTAAAGTAATTAAAAAGGAAAATAAATAAAATAAAGTAATTAACTCAAGATATCCTTCCATAATTCACAAACTGGTTTCTAAATAATTAATAATCTTTCTGACAAAATGGACACATTGCAAATCATAAATGCAGACTGTTTATGATTAACAAGCGATGTAAAATACCAGTCAAAAGTTTGAAGTTTTCTCCAAAACATAAAAACAAACAAACAAAAACACTGATTCCAAACATTGAAGTGATAGTGTAGATCCATCATTTTGCAGTGACTTTAAAAATGTCTGTTAACATTTTTTTAAAACCCATTTTTATAGGAATTGAATCCCTTTTCCCCTGGAATACTATTGATTGTGACATGCTGACTTATCATGATTGTACAAGATATTTCCCAAACACATCATCATGATGACAGTTTACTCGTAAATGCTGCACTTCCCTAACTAGTGTGTAAATTATCATAACAATCCATTCATTCATTTTACTTTGGCTTAGTCCCTTATATATCAGGGGTCACCACAGCAGAATGAACCACCAACTTATCCAGCATATGTTTTACACAGCGGATACCCTTCCAGCCTCAGCCCAGTACTGGGAAACATCCATACACCCTTACACCCTCACTCATACACTACTTTATCCAATTCACCTATACCGCATGTCTTTGGATTGTGCGGGAAACCGGAGCACCAGGAGGAAACCCAGACGAACATGCAAACTCCACACAGAAATGCCAACTGACCCAGCCGGAACTTGAACCAGCAGCCTTCTTGCTGTAAGGCGACAGTGCTAAACACTGAGCTCCCGTGCCACACGATCTAAATAATTGTAACATTATTTCTCTAAGTTCCATAGAGTAACAATGAATATTTGTAAAGCTTTTTCTTATTTAATAATCATAACATTTAATATTAACAATAAATTAACAATATTAATTTATGAATGTACCACTGTTTATTCTTCTAACATGTCATTCTCTATTATGTCAAACAACAACAACAACATGGTCACAGAAACACATGAATACAAGTCCTAGAGTGTTAATAAACAGGAATGACATTTGCTGGTTTAGACATAACAAGAATACTGCGAGTATTAATATTGCATAACCAGTCTGCATTTCAAATGTCACTGCCAGGGCTCGGCCGCTTGGTTTTCAATTCTATTACAAACAATTTAATCACATGACTGAGTTATATGGGTAAGCTCAATTGTCCATAGTGTATGTGTGTGAATGAGAGTGTATGGGTGTTTCCCAGTGATGGGTTGCAAGCTGGAAGGGCATCCGCTGTGTAAAACATATGCTAGATAAGTTGGCGGTTCATTCCGCTGTGGTGACGCCTGATTAATAAAGGGACCAAGCCAAAAAGAAAATGAATTAATGAATGAATAAATGAGCGAGTTATGTTAGTAAGGCTCTAAATGAAACACAACTTTAATGCAAGAGATAATGAACGGTGCTCAACCAAGTGCATCACGAATGAAATTAGCACTAGATTTCATTAAAGTTCACATTTTATACAATAAAAAAACCCTAAATTGTGTAATCCACAACCTTCCAAGAGGACGTGTGTTTTCCAATGAACCCGAACGGTGGGTTGATGAATCAGAGCAGTGGAGGTGTGTGTTTGTACAGGTAAAGATACTGCATTGCCTGAGGCTCCTAGAGGTGGAGACCGACAGGAAGAGGGAGGAGCTTAACTGTCACAGTAAAGAGATCAGCACCAGATCCATCAGTCAGTCCCATACTGAGTCACAGAACAAAAAAATACAAAAGAGGAGAGAGGACTAGAAAAACAGAGAGACGACTGAGAGCATATTCCTCAAACATACCGTATCTGGAGCCACCATGGCTCTAACACACTCCTCTGTCCCCATCTATGTGCAGTTCTCAAGAGACAAGTACATCTTGGATGGACCGCCGGAGAAACTTCGGAGGGAGTTGGAGGAAGAACTGAAACTAAGCAGTGAGGAACCGAGGAGCCATGCCTGGTATCACGGAGCCATTCCTAGACAGGTACAGCTTTCAAAACAAAAGGGAGAGGGATGGGTGATTATTACAGGATCATGCTTATATAGAGGCTTTCTGTGCCAGGTGGCTGTTTCTAAGATTGGATATATATGCAAAAGCCTGTCATCTGAAATCTCTTTGATTTTTATTTTTATTGAATTTTTTTTTGTTAAGATCTTATGTTTATGTTTAGTTATATGACTTTAAATGCAACTAAAATAACCTATTTATCGCAATAAAAGTGAAATGACTGAACTTACACACTAGCCTTGGAAAAATGGTCATTTTGGAAAACAATTTCAGATGAACTCTTCATATATATTTATATTTATTTATTTATGATTCTGTAATGTTGTTGAGATGTTGATTCTGGCAGGCAGAAGTGATCTGTTTTTTTGCTGTTTAAGCGCTGCTGTTTACTGTCCTTGAGTGACACTGAAGTCATGCCTAAATCTGGCACTCAGACATTCACTTCTTATAAAAAGATAATGAAATGAAGACACGTGGCCATGTTTGCTCCAGAGTAAGACTTGATTAAGGGATGAAACACACAGTGGATATGACTTGCATTAGCTGTTGTGAATGCTAACTTGTAGAGCAAAAATTACTGTGGAATTGCAGCGATTGAGCAGATCCAGTATCACCTTTGCTAAAAATGTGATGCTGAAAGATTACTATATGCATTTACCATATTTTTATGATACTTTTAACAACATATTACATTTTTCTATTTTACAAACATTGAATCTACAGCTAGATGTTGTAAAAAATACATTGACAAATTTTGATGATTCAGTGATAAAAGTATTAATCCAGGAATCGAACTCGGGTCGTCGTGAGCACCTGGGTGCTATATGTCGACGCACTAACTACTAGGCTATTGGCGCTGACATTACATTAAACTGAAGAAGAATTAAGAAATTAATATTTGCTGGAATAACCCTGATTTTAATCACAACAAATTGCCCTTTTCTGAGAAAATGCGCTACAGTAAAAAAGCTAAAGTTACTTTACTTTAAAAAAATGACGTAAACCCTTCGCCTTAAAGATGACAAGTTAACTTTAATTTAAAAAAAAACCTGCTATAATTTGGAACTGCGAGGTTGACTAAACTTTATTTTTATAATTACACACAGCTCATTTACTTAATAATTCTACGGAGATGGGTTTACCAACTTTTTGAAGTCAACTAATTGCTGTTTACAGTGTAAATTACAACATTTATAAGAAATATTTTTCAGACCATTATAGAATAAAAATATTAACATTTTGCTCAAACCTAAACCTACAAAATCCATCAAATAATATATATATATATATATATATATATATATATATATATATATATATATATATATATATATATATATATATATATATATATATATATATATATATATATATATATATATATATATATATATATATATATATATATATACTTAAATACTAAAATAAATAAAGTACTAAAATAAATAAACTAAAATTCTGGATTGATTCAATTGCCTAAATATTCACACTCTTACAGCTTGACAGTCATTAGTATTCGTTGTTTTATCAATACTTGCTTTGAGCTGAACTGGTTTACAGGCACCAAACCTGCCTAAAACAGGAAAATCCACAATCACACCCAGATTACTCAATACAACAAAACAAAGCATTTCACTGAAACAAAAACACTAAATCTGGAATCTGGACTGTATGCTATGGTCTAGTCCCCACCTTAAGATCTTAAATCAGGGTATCCAGGAGACTTAAAATGTCTGAAAACTCAAAAGCTAAAATTGACTAGGGATACTAACCTGACCTATATTTTTATTATTATTAAATTATAATTATTGTAGACTAAAGTAATAGGATTTATGGATAAATATACTTAAAAATTAATTAAAAAAAATTCAAACAAAATTATTATTATTATGATGTTAAATTGTAATAATTTTTAATAGGGCAAGTGAAAATCTTTTCTAACTGGGATATTCAGAAATTTTTTTTTAGCCCTGTGTACGTCTAAAATTTTACTCATAATAGTCTTAAAGATGTCTAAAAAAGTCTTAAACTTGACTTAGTGAAACTTACAGAATCCCTGTAAATAATCTTGTCCAACAACAAAATAAAAAAAAATCTACTGTAGTCCATTTCACAGCTCTCAACCACTATAGTTTGTACTTTGGTTCATTAACACAATCTTTTATTCTTCTTTGGCTTAGTGTCTGACTTTTTTATCAGGGTTTGCCACAGCGGAGTAAACTGCCAACTATTCTGCCATTTGTTTTTAACGCAGCGGATGCCCTTCCAGCTGCAACCCATCACTGAGAAACATCCATACACAGCCATTCACACACAAGAACTAAGTCCAATTTAGTTCACTTCACCTGTAGCACATGTCTTTGGACTGTGGGGGAAACAGGAGCACCCGAAGAAAATCCATACGAACACGGGGAGAACATGCAAACTCCACACAGAAATGCCAACTGACCTAACTGAGACTAGAACCAGCGACCTTCTTGCTGTGAGGTGACAGTGCTAACCACTGAACCACCGTGCCACCACATTAACACAACACTTCACTGAAAAAAAACAGCCGTCAACAGTTTCTCATCAAGAGTGACGCCACAGTGCTGACAGCTTCAGATCCGCTCTTATGAAAACCATGTACACTGGCTCATCTTTCCCATGCTCCTTTGCAGCACATGTCCCTGAATCTGACAACTCATCCATCAACAACTGTAGCAGAGCAAGAGTGGTTAATACACAGATGAATCATGACTGCTATTTGACCCAAGGTGTATTTATCTAATGTCATCATATGATCAGAACTGTCAGTGTCCAGAGTCAGGCTACAGTTTACACCACAAACACAACGGTCCAAATAAAACAAACTCATTCATCATGGCTCAACACACCTTGGAAATGACCTCACAATATATTTCAAGCATGCGGTTCTGCCCTTAAAACAAGACGTGCAGGAGAATAGGATAAAACATTGTTATTATAAATCCCCAGTTCATTGATTACATTAGGAACTAGAAACATTTGTTGTTTAACAAAGATTGTATGTTTGAATATTCAGATGAGGCATTATTTTTTTTAATTATGCAGTAATTTGCAAACATTTCTAGCACAAAAATCTAAACTCAGGTCCAAATTTCTTGATTGATTTATCTTGCATGTTAGAGTCATATTATATGCTTATTACAGTTTTTTTTTTTTTTGTATGTCTCTATACCAGAGGTGCCCAAACTTGGTCCTGGAGGGTCGGTGTCCTGCATAGTTTAGCTTCAGCACACCTGCCTGGAAGTTTCTAGTATACCTAAAGAGCTTGATTAGCTGGTTCCGGTGTGTCTAATTGGGGTTGGAACTAAAATATGCAGGACACCGGCCCTCCAGGACCAAGTTTGGGTACATCTGCTCTATACCGGAAAAAAAAACAACTCTTTAGATTCCATTTAAAAATCCTCCTAACAATTTGCATGAACAATTTTCAATTAAATTTGACTCCTATCAGGTACAAATAACTTGTCAATATCATGTAAAATTGACTTAGTTTACCCTGACACTACTGAATTAATAAAGTAAAAGTTAATTGATTATCTTTCATTCTGAGACTCGATTTATTGAAATGAGCCAAGTGATGTTCTTTATAAGCAGTAAAGGAATATTGCTTTTATCAATTAAAATAAAAAATCTTATTAGTTACAAATGAGTACATTTGGTGTAACTTGGTTTAAGACGCACATTTCCACTCGTTTGAAAAGTGTTATTTCACTTTATTTTAACTTTTTAGCCAGCACTCACTTTTGGGGATTTACACCTACCTTTTTCTTGCACATTCAAACTACTTATTTAAAATGAGCTGAAACAACGCAATACTTTATTGGGACATGCTATTTTTTTATGCTCAATCCATATAAATTTCTTAAAAGTGTTAAGTTAACTTAATCAATTTGTGTTGGGACAACATGAATGAATTGTGTGGAACCCTGCATGTTTTTACAGTGCAGTTGACTCCAGTAAGCTATATAAACACAAATTAGGTATGGCTGGAAAGAAGACACTTTGGGCTTTACTGTGGTAAAAGGGGAAGTTTCATGCTCAAAAATATAAAAAGTTATATATTATGAAGTCATGAGAAAAAACTTGTACTGTGTTCAATATTTGTTTTTCCATATACAAACACAGGAAAACATTAATGTAATGTCCTAGAAAAAATATGCGTTCAAAGCCAAAAGTCAAACTGAACCCAAGAGTAAATTTACTTCAAATATACTTACTGATCTCAAAGCTTGTGTCAGTATAACCATGGTTCTCTGAGTGAAGCATCAAACATTAATGCTGACTATAAAAATGCCAAGACCTGCAACTGGAGTGCTACTCTGCAAGCCGGTAACCTCAAAAAAAAAAAAAAAAAAAACTTTTTAAAAACTTTTCTTAATCTTCAAACGAATGAAGATTAAACTCTAACAACTGTCAAATTTAAACACCCAAGATAGCTTAAAAAAAAATCTCTTAATTTAATCCCGTGCAAAACATGCTGTGAACTACACCTCCATTATGACATATCGATTATTAAAAAGTACTTTATATTAGTGGGTTTGCAACGATTAGAAAATATTTTAAACTTACAATTATATAAATATTGTTTAACTCTTTCCACTCATTTATTGATCATTTATCATATTATACAAATATTAAATATTTACTTAAAATATTCTAGTTATATATATTTAAATTTAAAATTTATGAGAGTAAATTTATTAGATTTGACTACACCAAAAAAAAGTCATTTCTTTCAGTACTCTTTATCACTCCATAATTCCAAAAATACTGAAAACAGCCAGAAACAAATGCATTTTTTTTTTTTAAATGTAGGGTTCAAATCTTGTATATAATCAGGATGTAAATTAAGTATAAACAAATAACTCTATTAAAAAAACCTTCAGAATGTTAATATTAATAATTCTATGAAGTTTGATGCATGACAAGAGCTGCTGAAGTTGAGATTTATGGCTCAGTACTTTGTAGTTAAAATGTACAACCACAGACTGATAAAGTACGATATAAGAAACTCTTAATATTATATTTCAGGTATTTTGAAAAACAAAAAATAAATAAATAAATAAAATAAAATGGACAATAGCAAACAGTTTTTGCCTACTGTGTCCACCTTACATAAAAGAAGGCTTGTTACTGACTTACATTATCTGTGGATACCATCAACAGGATCTTAGTAGCGAGTCTGAACAGTAATATATTCTTTCTATTTGGTGGCTCATGACACATTCCCCTCTTCACAAAGCCCTCACATGTGTCTTTCAGCTGGACAAGTTTGACCTGCTAGACTGAAGTTAATCAAACAAACCACAGACAAGAGAGGAGGAAGGACACACATTTACTGACACACATATCACTTTATGACCAGTAGTGTGAACTGACCTGTGCTTGATTTCAAAACTCACATTCCTGGCAGTGTTTTGTTTGTCAGTGTGGGGAAAAAAAATGTTTGGACTTAATTATTAGCCACCTGTGAAACTACTGAAATAGCTTGCACTGTAAAAAAAAATGCTTTTCTTACTTTAAGTTTTTGTCTTGTTTCTAGTCCAAATACCTACAAATTCTTAAATCAAGAAACATTTTCCATAGTTCTGTTTTCAGAAATAATAAGTCAAAAGTAAGTGAGTTTTTCATTAAAACAAGCTAAATAAGTGAAGTTTATTTATAAACTGATTTAGAGAGGATCACATGCTTATGATTGCCTGCGGCTGGTCCTGCATTATTCAATTTATTATTCACCAATCAGACGTTTCCTAAGCCCCTATAAATACCCTAAGTTCCATATAACAGCAATCTTCATTTTGAAGAATCCCCCCTTCCACCCCTGATCCTCCTTTTTTCCTAGATGGGTGACACGGTGGCCCAGCAGTTAGCACTGTTGCCTCACAGCAAGAACGTCCCTGGGTCTAGTCCTTATTTTACTTACTTCAAAGGCAGAGTTATTTATTTAATTTGCTTGTTTTAAGAAGAAAAAAAAAATAATTTTGACTTTTTAAAAAAAAATCCATACTTTTAATTGTCTTGAAATTGCTTCTTGAACTAGAATCAAGACTAAATGTAAGAAAAGCATTTTTACAGTGTGAGAAAAGCTGTTTAGCAGAACTACTGTGTCATAAACACTGTGATTGTAATCAGACTTAATGACTATTTTCCTGGTGCCACTGCTGCTCCACTTCTCTAAACACACATGCTAAACTTGATTTATTACTGTTTGATCTCCTCACAAACACATAGTGGGAAGTAATATGAAACAAACAATGCCATATAATTACTTTATTCTCATAAAAAAAACTGTGAAGGTGTATTATTGAAAAGAATAAGGATATGTATTAAAACTGCAAAAAACAATCTGTTAACGACTCAAAATCTGCCCAAATCTCATGGGTCTTGATCAGTTTATGTGTGTTTATTTCTTATCAGAACCTTAACAGACTGAAAGACTTGTAATGTGTGTGACAGACAAAGGAGACATCCAAAACATGCAGTGCTGACGGTCCTCCAGGAACATGGATGAGAAATACCAATTTACATGACAAATCAAGAAAATAATTTGAATGAAAAACCCATTTGTTCCTTGATATCTAGTAGTTTACATATTGATTCATTACTATTCTTTACATCTTCCAAAAAGCTAACATGTTGTCCATCATTCTGATTTAATGCACTGGTGATCCACTAAACAAAACAAAATCTAGGTCACATCATGTGTCACTGTCATAAAAGTAGTTCTACAGTGTTCTCTGGAGATGTGTACACAATCTGATTAGACTGTTTCATTTGTACAAAGACAAATAAACCTTTACGAGTAGACAAAGCACTTTCTCCAATATTTGAGTTTGTCCTGCATAAAGACCGAGCTTAAAGCTAGAAACATTTTGAGAAAAACTGTTGGGTTATTCTAGTTGAAAGACACCATGATAGCAGTTGATGAGCATTTTTACAAGCATGGAACACAGAGATTATTCACAATAAAGCCTATTGAAAGCTAATACTTCTATTCCATGAGATGAAAACATCATCATTGTAAATATGTCATGCCAGGAAAGCACCTGAGCTTTCTCTATATATTACCTGCAAACATTACCTCTTCCTGTGCTTAAATCTGCAGTAAGGATCTGTTCATGTCACACATGCACCCTTCAAAAGACCAACAAAAAGCAGGTTAATGTGTATACAAGCTCAAAATGTGTGTGAAAGGTGCAAAAATCTATCTTTCCATGAAGGGGAAAAACACATTGTTGGCTACTTAATTATAATCGGGTTAACTTAAAAACACTACATTTCAATTTGCACATAATATACATACAGTATTGTAATATACCTGTACATACATTTGTCAATTTGCATATTTTTTAATTCTCTTAACTTTTTGTTTTTAATCTCTTTGTTTTTGTCCTGTCAGACAATTGCCTTTGAAGTTGACCAAATTAAGTACTTAGTGATGCAAGTTTTGATATATTTATGATAAGAAAACCAAAATGTTGCTTAATTTTATGTTGTAATGATTTTTGTCTGGATAAACTACCTGACAAAAGTATTGTCGTCGATTCCAGTTAGGACGATTCTAAGAGCCCATACATTTAGCGGGCCCCCATAGACATTATAAAGGGCCTGCGATCTTGATGCTAAAACTTGCATAGGCAACAAGACTTATATATATATATATATATATATATATATATTTTTTTTTTTTTTTTTCTCCCTGCACTATTGCCTATTCTACAAATATACCTATGAGGTGTGGCCCATGGTCATATATAACCTGTAGAATGCTCAGGACCTTAAAATGTTGATGCAATCTATTGCCTACCATGATCTGACATGTAAAACTCTTAAATCTAAATGACCTGAAAAAAATAAACATGAAAAACAGCAAATATCTGTGTTATAGGTGGCTGAAAACCTGGTCCAGCGAGATGGAGATTTTCTGATCCGGGACTCTCTGTCCAGCCCTGGCAACTACGTTCTGACCTGTCAGTGGAAGAACAGCCCTCAACACTTCAAAATCAACAAGCGGGTCGTAGCCATGAACGAGGCCTACTCACGGGTTCAGTACCTGTTTGAGAAGGAGGGATTCGATAGCATCCCCGCACTGGTGCGATATTACGTGGGCAACCGTGAGCCGGTCTCTGAGGTCATCGGAGCGATTATCTTCCAGCCGATCAACAGAGCTCTGCCTCTGAGGTGCCTGGAGGAGAAATATGGAGTGGGATCTATACGTGTAGAGGCAGGATATCTGGAGAGAAAGAGCCTGACGTCCAAACGGCTGAGTCTGAATATCATGAATGGACACGGTCAGGATCACACCCTCAGCCGTGGAAACCTCCTCAGGTCAGCGAAACGCCAGCTTATGGCACTTTACACTATTATTCATGCTTTACCGCCAAGAACAAATACTCTGGAAGGCTTCTGAATGACACACACATGTTGGAAAAATAGAGAAGGATTAATTAATTTATTCGTCATGGGATTTAAAACTACTTACAACTGATTCCATATAGAAATCTTTCATTATTACAAATTGAAATGACATGAATGACATTCAAGTTCATATTAAAATTTCACATATATCATGTATACACCACTAGTGGAAAGTTTTGGTCAGTAGGATTTTTAAATGTTGTAAAATAAGCTTCTCCTGCTTACCAAGACTGCATTTATTTCAGCATAAATACAGTACAAATTGTAACATTGTGAAATATTATTGCACTATAAAATAACTGTTCAAAAGAAGTTTATCATTTCATTTAATCATTTATTGCTGTGATTTAATGATGAATTTTCAGCTTCATTACTTTAGTCTTTAGTCACATGATCCTTTAGAAATCACACTGTTGTTGTTGTTGTTGTTATAATTATTGATGGTAATAATAATAAAAGCAAGAATAAGAAAGCAGTTATTTAAGATTTTTATAAATATTTTAGAATTTAACAAATTTTCTTTTTATTTAATAAATGCCGCCTTGATAAACAGAATAATTTTCTTTAAAAAAAAAACATGAAAAACTTACAATTTACAGTTGAAGTCAGAATTATTACCTCCCCTTTTAATTTTTTCCCCCAATTTCTGTTTTAACGGAATAAAGATTTTATTAAAAACTGTTATAAAAATAAGTTTTAATAACTCATTTCTAATAACTGATTTATTTTATCTTTGCCATGATGACAGTAAATCATATTTGACTAGATATGTTTCAAGACACTTCTATATGTGACATTTAAAACCTTAACTAGGTTAACTAGGCAGGTTAGGGTAATTAGGCAAGTTATCTTATAATGATGGTTTGTTCTGTAGACTATCGAAAAACTTATATAGCTTAAAGGGGCTAATCATTTTGATCTTAAAATGTTTTACAAATTTTAAATTGCTATTATTCAAGCCGAAATAAAGCAAATTAGACTTTCTTTAGAAGAAAGAATATTGTCAGACATACTGTGAAAATTTCCTTGCTCTGTTAAACATCATTTGAGAAATATTTAAAAAAGAAAAAAAAAAAATCAAAGGGGGGCTAATAATTCTGACTTCAACTGTATATTAGTCACATTAGCTATAATTTTAAATGTCTAATACAAAATATTTATTTTATTCCAGTGGTTGAAAAGAATCTGTAATCTGCCATTTGCAATGTTTTGAAATATATGTTGATTATAGGACATACTGTATGTTTTATATATATGAAATCAAAATATATGTATTTATGCTTTAGATTTTTATATAAGATTCTAGTTCTCAAACTGCATTATTTAGCATGTTCAGAATGTTCAGAAATGTGTATTTTGTAATGCACAATTCAGCAGATTAAAATAATAATCATAAAATACAAAAAAATGATCATTTCATATATCTAACCTTTCATTCAACAATTTGACTTTCAAAGCTTGGTGCTAATGTGATTACAAAAAGTGTGTACTCTTTAAAAAGTTTAATTATAAAAAACAACTGTTGTGTTATTTAAGCAAATCTGCTTCATATACAGGTCAAATCTGAATAGAGAAAATTACATATATAGAAATAATATAAAATATATATATATATATATGTTTTTTTTTTGGTTTTTGATCTGTTAGTTGCATGCCTATATATATATATATATATATATAAACAGTTCTGTTATTCAAGCAATTCCGCTTCTCATAATTGAGGGCAACTTTGAAAATGGCAGGCAATAAAATTAAAATTTTTTATACCAATTACTGTGGAGTGACTCTTCTCAATGGTGGACATTTCTCAATGGTAGTCTCTAAGAAATCATTGACAGTACAGTTTATATTTGGAAGGGAACAAGTTCAACCTGTCCAAATAATTGAAAAACATTATTTATGCTGAACCGCTTATTTAATTAGCCCTGGCCTGCAGTGTGACAGATCCACAATAACGACAGCTTTTAAGCATTAAAATGCATAAAGTAAGTGAAAACCTCCTTCGTGACAATTCAGCATAAAACTTTTGGAAACAATGTCAAATTCAGCATAAAACTTCTAGAAACAATGTGTCAAAACAGCTCACCACTGTGCAGATTTTAAAAAACGATAGCGCAGACTGGATGCCCTCACACTAACTGAGAGACTTTATGGAATTTATACTTTGAAAAATTCATGTCACGCCACAAGAAGCCCAGCAGAATGAATGCAATTAAAAGTGGTGTAAACTTAATACCAGCCTAAAAGACTTCTAGAGAAGAAACTAAATAACTTGTCTTTCTCCTTCACAGCAACAAGGATAAATGTGGAAGTCAACCAGCATGTCTAAACCACGTTCAGGAGAGGAGACGGCCGCTGAAGACCCATCAGTCGGAGAGCTTCCTCCCTATCGGTGAGTTCCTGTCAGCTCTCATCCGCCTTGATTCCCCGTCACGCCGCTGATACACACATCTGACAGCCCTGAAAACCACTCATCTTCCTCGCATTCGCTCTCAGCCAAAGTGAAAACGATTCTCAAAGTCAAGCTGACGTTCCCGCCTTTGAAATTCACTTCGGGTTACTGAACGTTAAACGTGTGAAATGAGACGTGGGATTGAAATGCAAAAATAAAATGTTTTGTGGAAGAAACTCTGTGGCAAAGAATGAAAGCGGAGATGGAGATAATTTATGCCTGCGTCAGTAGAATAAATATGGTTATGTGAAAAACGCAGTTTTGCTGTCCATGTCAGAAAACAGAGAGCTGAATCTGCTTTGCCGTGCAGAATGCCAATAGAAAACTTCAGATCGGCAGCTTCCATCTTTCTTAATCCATTTACAACAGATAGTCTGTGAAATAATGAAAAAAAAAACAGTGTGATTTTTTTTCATGTCAAGTCCAGAAATACTTTTATATACAGTTGAAGTCATTACTAGCCCTTATTTGATTTCTTTCCAAATATTTCCCAAATTATTTTTTAACAGAGCAAGGAATCTTTCACAGTATTTCCTATAAGTAAAAAAGTCTTATTTGTCTTATTTTGGCTAAAATAAAAGCAGTTTTATTTGTTTGAAAAACATTTTAAGATCAATATTATTAGCGCTCTTATTAGCAATATTTTATTTCAAACATCAGGGCCCAGTTTTCACATACATTTATTTAGATCAGATTTGAAAATCCCATGTTTTGCTATCCAGGATTTACTGATCCATCTTACTTTTATAACAGTTTTAAAGAAGCCTCAAATGGAATCAATTGTGTAGCCTACTCTCTTAGCAATAAACAACAGGTAGGCAAAGTACCAGTGGCCACAAACAGCCATTGTTTGTTTAATGGTAAGAAACAGAAACACTGCAATCAACAAGGATATAACATTGTTTACAGTAGTGTTCTAATACAATACTGCTTTAATATTGTTTTGCTGTTTTTGTTTACCGTACCGCATTAGATGTGACATGCTTTATATAGACTTTAAATATGACAGAATTTATATATCATAAGTAACCATTAAGTTTGTGATCATTTACTTAAAAAACAAAACCTTTTTTATTTTATTTGGTTCAAAAAAAGTCGAAACTGAATCCACCCTTGTGATGGGATGAGGATAATCCTGTTTTTTTGTGTCAAATAGATCCCAATTTGAGTTCAAAGTTTTACATAACCCAAAGGGCAGGTTTGATTTAAATCCAATGTAAGATTGAATTACGTGGTCTGATCTTAATACAAAATTCCTGTTACTTTTGAAAATCCCATTTCCAAGATTTGATCCAATCCGTGATCCAAAATCCCACTGGATTACTGTTGAAAAACTGGGCCCTGCAGAATAAACTATCGTTATACAGTGACTTGCCTAATTACCATTACCTGCCTAGTTAACCTTATTAACCTAGTTAAGCCTTTAAATGTCACTTTAGGGTGCATACTTGTATGTTGGAAAATATGTGGTAAAATATTATTTACTGTCATCATGACAAAGATAAAATAAATCAGTTATTAGAAATGAGTTATTGAAACTATTAGAAAATTGTTTTAAAAATATTTCCGTTAAACAGAATTATATAAATTATGTTCTATCAAAATATATATGGGGGGGGGGGGGCTAATAATGCTGACTTAAACTGTATATATCTTACTGATATTATAATAAGCCTTAAACATATTGTTTAATTGTATTGTTAAAATCTCTTTTAAGCTTTTTTTGGGATTTATCCTTTCAAGTAATGTGTGAAACATGACTGTCTGTGAATTCAAAAGGTCTTCAAAGTTTCAAAGATCAAAGTGGACAATAAAAGGGAGATATTGTCTTCCAAAAGAAAGAACTGATTGTGATCTGAGTCAGTAATTGCAGTTTTTTTTCCATGAGGATTGCTTTATGAAAAGCGTTGTGTATTGTTGTTTTTTATGCTGGTGCCAAACCCTTACTTTTAAAACAGTAGCAGTGCCTAAATGCAGCCTGAAACCGATTGGGACCCAACATTATGATCCATCTGACCAATCAGAGCATAGTTGGCTCTCAGAAAGGAAGGGCTCAGAGACCGGATTCCTTGAAAGAACCATTTTAGATGGTTGCTAAGCTGAAATACAGTTATACTGTAGGTACATGCTGCTAGACCATGGATGAATGTATAAATAATAATAATTATAATAGTAATAATAAACAAAAAAAACTTTTTTGAAAAAAAAAACAAGGATTTGGTTGAAATGTGTAAGAAACTACACACTGGAACTGGCTGAGGTCAAGAATCTAACAAATGTTCGACATCTTAACAGTGTCTTTAAGTGTGGGAACCATTCCAAGTGGAATAACTAACTCTGCTCTACTCTTGAATTATGAGAAAACTTAAACAAATTGCACAGCTGAGGTATATTTTACTTAAATTCTAATAATTTAACAGCTCATCATCAAATTATTATTCCAGGGACGGATTTAGTGATTTGGGTGCCCTAAGCAATTCCAACTATTCCTAAAGTTCTAAAACGCACGTTTTGTACTTTCATTTATTTTGCAGTTTTTTTTTCTTATATCACTCGGTCTCCTTTTCTACATTTTATCTTAATGCAAAATAATAATAACATGTAAAGCATTTTGTAACATCTTGTAAAACCTTTTAATTTGAAGTCATAACTAAAAATTGAATGATTGAAAAATGTAACTAAAAATAATAAATGAAGTATTTTGTTTGTAAAACTAAATCTTTTCTGATTTGACCGGTCCATGATTGGGGGTGGGTGACACATTTGCGCAGATGTAATGATTACATTCAAATGAAAAATTTCAGACCCTCACCATACAAATTACGATAGAAAACAATGTTATATAAATAATTTATAGGTATAATTCTAGGTATTTATTTGGGGGTCTCTAAGCGGTTGCTTACCTTGCTTTTTGGTTAAATCCACTCTTGATTATTATCATGGACTTTATTGTACAATTTGATCAAAAGAGTGATGAGATGAATTATTGAACACATCCTTCTGTTTTCAGGCTCCAGGCCGCAGGCTCAGGTTCAGCATATGGAGCACCAGCCGTGCCCCAAATCTCCGGTTTTTCGAACGGGAAGCGAGCCAGCACTGAGTCCCACAGTGCCACGCAGAATGGCCTTTGACACTCTGCCTGGTGAGGCCATCCGCGGCTCTGACAGCCAGCTGTGTCCCAAACCACCCCCTAAACCCAGCAAGGTCCCCACAGTAAGAGTACCGTGCATCCCAGCCCTGAAAACCCTTGTCGTCCCACCTGTCCCTCCAGTCAAGCCCCACAAGCACAGACCTTCACTCCAGCAGCAGCAGTCAGGCAGTCCAGAAATGAGCTACTGTGAACTGAGTCCATGCAGCCCTGCTGACTGGGAAAAGATGAACAGCTTACAGGCTAATGGATATGTGGAGAGGCTAAAGACAGACGGCAGCATTAAACTAGACCGCAGCTCCTACCACAACGCCATTGAGGCCTTAGACAACGACAGCGAGGAAGACACCGAAGAGGATGCGGATAAAGAACAGAACGGCAAGAAAGCTTTCCAAAAACCTGTGTTTGAAACTGAATCAGCGTTCAGACCTGCAAATGTCAACTTCAGGCTGCTGCCTAAGGAGAACAAGCCTCTGGAGATGACGGTGCTGAAGAAAGCCAAAGAACTGCTGGTCAGTCAGGATCCAAAGACCATCGCCAAACACATCCTGCAAGCAGACTGTCAGGTAATCTTCATCATCCCTGGAGGCAATATGAAGTCAAAGTTTATTAGCTACTTAATATGCATCCTGTATTATTGCCAAATGACTAAAGAATCCTTTATAAATATACTATTGCTGATTTTTAATTCCTGCTCATTCATAGTTTATTAAAGGTTTAATTACTTGCATGTCTTAAATGCTAGTGTACACTTTACAAACAGCCACATTAAAAGCTCTTTTACTACGGGGCTTATATGGAATATATACAGTAGTCAGCATTTGATATGGATCATTACCTTTCGTCAAACTTGTCCTAAAACTACATCTATTCTTTTCCTAGTACAATTTTGACATGATTTATATTGACTTCAAATGTTGACTACTGTACTTGCATGGAATGCTTGATTCTAGTTGGCCGATGAACATTCTAATATCCTGCAGCACATCATGATTTTCCCAGGTACAATGCGATCCTGGATTAATATGTTGATCCTGGAACATCAATTTTGTGGGAAAATGCAATTCATACATAACCATACCACTTACCCAACCATAACTGTAAATTATTCCCAATACTCATGTAGAAGTGCATAAACCTAACCATAAGCCTAAACTAGACATAAACAGTAAACATATCTCTTAATTCTGATAGGCTGTTTGAAATGTTGTTCCAGGATCAACATACAGTAGATGTTAATCCAGGAACATGTCCTACTTGTTGAAATCAGGTTAGGGTATTCTGCACTCTTTTGCTTCTGGACCACATTACGGTTCCCTGCAACTACGCTGAATTATTTAAGTTATTTCACAGCCCACAACTTTCAAGTCAAATGAAAAAAAAAAAAAAATTAAAGCTTTCGATGAGATGTGTGGAAATAAAATAAAAAAAAAATCTGACAGATGTCTTAAAAGGCACCTATGATGAAAATCATTTTTTGGAAGCTGTTTGGACAGAACTGTGTGTAGATATAATGTCACAGTCATATTGTCATGATATAAAGACAATAAGTCTCTTTTAAAAATTTTCTGACATTAAATCAATCATCAAATGCGATCTTGTTTTTTTAAAACAGTGCATGTTTGTAATAAAGACGGTAAAATCGATGCAATTCATCATCACAGCCACATGTCAGTCCAATTATAAAAGAAGACACTTAAATCCTGGATTGTGGACGTTAAATCAGGTTTATTTTCTACATTAACATAACGGATATTCATACAGCAGTGGATAATAACATGTATCCTGTTACATTTGCTGTGCAAAAACAGTGCAAAGTTAAACTATGTGTGAACTTTATAACGACTCATCATTGCAGAAAGGCTTGAATTAACGCCACAACAAATACATCAAATAATCATTGGGAAAGATCTTACTGTAGTATATCTCCCAAACATTACATGAGATCTCCCTTCATGTCTGTCACTGTGCTGTTTATCTGATGTAGCCGATGCAAAGATTGAGACACTCTGAGAGGCACGTGGGAACTAGGATTAAAGGCACAGGCAACAAAAACAGATACATAGTGTTCAGAGCAGAAAATTCCAATTTTCTAAAAGCTATAATAAATCATCTGATAAGTATTTTAAACTGAAATTTTACAGACACATTCTGGAGACACAAAACACTTCTCTTAAATCTGGAAAAAGGGGTAAAATAGGTGCCCTTTAAAATAAAATATCTGAACAGTGTCTTTAGGTGTGGTAATCATAGTATAAGCGGAATAATTGACCCTGCTTGATTAAATAATGAAAAACACACACACCCAAGGTGTTTCACTAATATTATTAATAACTTAATGGCCCGTCATCAGCTATTCTTCACATATCAGCTAATATAATATTAACCACAGAACGGATACTAGACTGTACATCAGATAGCTTTTGATTTCAATAAAATGGAAGCAAAATTTAAAAAAGGAAACCAAACATAGAACAACAAAAGGAGAAAAGTCAAGATGAAACAGAATTAGGGCTTGCCCCCCCACACCCACTTGCTGAATACAATCATGAGCAACCGCTCTGTAATTAGTCTCATTATATGACTCAGCCTATTCTTCAGGTTAGAGACTGGTTCTTCCAGCCAACCAGAGGACCAGAGCACAGTCGTGCAGTGGCTAAAAGTGGACGAATCCAATTTTATAAAGGCACACGTGACTCTCCACATTGCCTTCTGCTTATGAAAGAGGCTTCAGAGTGTTTGTCTGTGTATTTGGGAATTACATCTTAAGCCGTTTCATTAAATCAGTCACAGGACAACATTATGAACAAAAAACAAAACAAAGTAGACTCTATGCAATCACTGCTTTACTACTGTTGATTAGGGATGATACAACCTTTAATGCTAATGCTGTGTCTTTGTGTTACAGGTTGCCAGGATACTGAATGTTTCTGAGGAGGTGAAAGGTCAGATGGGTGTGAGCTCCGGGCTGGAGCTGGTGACCCTTCCTCATGGACGACAGCTGAGGCTGGACCTCATAGAGAGGTAAACAGATGCAGTCAACACGTCATGATGGCTCACTACAGACATCTTTCTTAAAGAAATAAAGCATTGTGTATGACATACAGCTATGAAAATGGAATTTTTTTCTGGATTTATCATTTATAATTTGGTTTAAACATAATAGATTGACAGGATTTTTTGCTGTATATGTTTTATTGACGCTGGAACGACTGCTAGCCTTTGACTTAAATTTCAGACATAACCAAGGACCAGTTTAGCAATAAAAAACTAAATAAAAACAATTGAAAACTAAAAAAGCCACTAACTTCTTGCATGTCCTGAAAACAAATTTCCGAAATACCCTCCATTTTCTACATTAATGACCACAGACGGCAATCTGCAGTGTCCAAAGACATTAAACATGCATGGCTGGATCTTCTCTAACAGGCATAACACTATGGCGATCGGAGTGGCTGTGGACATCCTGGGGTGTACAGGAAGTCTGGAGGAGCGAGCAGCCACACTAAACCGGATCATTCTGGTGGCTCTGGAGCTCAAAGACTCCATGGGGGATCTTTATGCCTTTTCCTCCATAATGAAAGCACTGGACATGCCTCAGGTACCCAGAGGCTCCTTCTATCTGCCACTTTCTATTAACTTACACTACCGATTTTTTTTTTACCCCTCTGCATGTGGTCATATGGAGGCTTTTAAACTGTGATGTGTCTTGTATGAACAGATTACCAGACTGGATCACACATGGACTAGCTTGCGGAGGAAATATACACAGACTGCCATCATTTATGAGAAATCTTTAAAACCGTTCTACAAAGGACTCTATGAAGGAGGTGGTGAGTATTTGACAAAAGAGCATGTTTAAAATGCCTCATTTTAGTTCTCTTACACCACCTGACAAAAGTCTTGTTGCCTAGCCAAGTTTTAGGAACAAAAATAATTTAGACTTCTAGTTGATCATTTGGTATCAGAAGTGGCTGATATGAAAGGCAAAGGCCTCTAGATTACACTTATTTTAGCAAAATAAAATATGATCATGCCTTGATTTTTACTTATTTACTGTAATTAGGACAGTAAGGACTGACTTTGCTTAGACAAAAGTATTGCCACTTCACAGAAATAATGTACAGTATAGAATATAAAGTCATGCTGCAGTGAAAAAAGAATTAATATCGTGTATGACTCCCATGAGCTTGGAGGACTGCATCCATACATCTCTGCAATGACTCAAATAACTTATTAATAAAGTCATCTGAAACGGCAAAGAAAGCATTCTTGCAGGACTTCCAGAGTTCATCAAGATTCTTTGGATTAATCTTCAATGCCTCCTTCATCTTACACCAGACATGCTCAATAATGTTCATATCTGGTGACTGGGCTGGTCAATCCTTGAGCACCCTGACCTTCTTTGCTTTCAGGAACTTTGATTGTGGAGGCTGAAGTATGAGGAGAGCTATCTTGCTGAAGAATTTGCCCTTTTCTTTGGTTTGTAATGTAATTGGGCAGCACAAATGTCTTGATACCTTAGGCAGTTGATGTTGCCATCCACTCTGCAGATCTCTTGTTAATGAATGTGACACCAAACCATTTTCCTTCACCAAACTTGACTGATTTCTGTTAGAATCTTGGGTCCATATGGGTTTCAATAGGTCTTCTGCAGTGTGTGATGATTTGATCAGTTCGACAGATGATTCATCTGAAAAATCTACCTTCTGCCACTTTTCTAAATGATCAACTAGAAGTCAAGTTATGATTTGTTGCTCTTACAACTGGGATCAACGACAAGACTTTTGTCAGAGAGAAGCATCTAAATTCACACACTGAAATGTTGTTTTAAAAGGAATAGCTTGCCTAAATTTTTTTAATTCTGCCATCTTTTCTTATCCTTCAGTTGCTTTGAACCTATTTGAGTTTCTTTCTTTTGTTGAACACAAACGATGATATATAGAAAATCCTGGTTGCTGGTACCCATTGACTTCCATAGTAATTTTTTCTAGCTATAAAAGTCGATGAGTATCAGCAATATTCAGAATATCTTCTTTTATTTTGCGTTCAGCAGATGAAACTCAAAGGTATAGAACCACATGCGGCCGAGTATAGATGAGGTCATTTACATTTTTTTCCTTTGAGTGCAACCAAATAAATAACCAGATTACACACTTATTTATACAAACAACTGTTAATGTTGGACCCTTCACATTGTAAAGAATGCAGAACTTTCAGACCACGATGATTAATAAAATAACCTTATGAAGTTCACAAACTAAACACTTGAGTGCATAAGTACATACAGTTAAAATCAGAATTATGTAATAATAATTAATATATTTTATAATAATTCTGTTTATTATGGGCTAATAATCAGAATTATTAGTCCAAAGAATTTATCTAGACAAGAACATTTTATCAGAAATACTGTGAAAAATTCCTTGCTCTGTTGAAATATTTGAAAAAGAAAAATTTTACAGCAGGGCTAATCATTTTTGACTTGAACTGTACATAGTGTGTAATGTGGGACACAACCTCTGTGTTTCCAGCTGAAATCCCGCTGAGCAATGCCAGTGTTCCTCTGCTGATGCCGCTGCTCACCTTGATGGAGAGGCCTGCAGTCACCTTCGAGGGTATGGACGTCTGGGAGAACACCGATCAAGGCTGTGAAATCATGTTTCGGCACCTGGAAGGAGCTCGAGCGGTTGCACGCAATGCAGACACCTACACCTGCAATGCACAGCGGATCCTCCAGGGTAAATCAAGGACATCACCACAGTCATTTCAACAGGAACATGCAGGACTTTAAGCCAAACACATCGATCTGATAAAACGTTTATATTAAAGACCAGAGCTCCATGAAAACACAGATTAAAAATTAGCACTTGAATTATGGATTCTTTTTAGAGGGTAAATAGCCAAAATAAGCATACAGCATAAGCAATACGGTTCAATTCACAAATGTTGGACTCGTAATATGTGGTTATCAGCTATTATTCAGTTGAAGACATTTTTTTTAGAGCAGATACTGCATTAACATGAGCTACTTACTTTTGAGTCAGTCATCATTTCCTTAGTCACGTCACTCAGAATGAATCATGAATCACTACAGGGATTTTCACTTTAAATTTTGGGATGTAAATCAATATAATTACCTACAGTAGGTGAGAGTTCAAAGTGGCCATTACCGCCAGAGCTAATACCGGCACCGTTTAAAATTGCTGTCGCTCTGTAAACAGACAATAAATAATATGCGGCTCACTCTGCTTGCGGATATTATTTAATTCATTTATTCAAAAATGAGAGTGTTTTACATGAAGTGGCAGTTGGTCAAATATTTGTAACATAGCCTGTAATAAATAATAAATAGCCTACTGATAAAGTAAGTTCAGGTGATCACAAGTTCACAATCAGGTGATGTGCTCCACTGGCACGATCATCTTAATATTCTTTAGCTGTTTTTCATATCCGCACGTTTAGGATTTGAGGTAATAACATCGCCATGATGGTCAAAGAAATCAAAACATTATTTTCACCCCAACTCAACTTAATAGGGCACTAAAGGCTAAAAAACTTAATTCTTGTATTTGCTTTTTGAAGCCTATGGCTATACTTCTCACCATGTATCTTTTTTAAAACATACAGTATAGTGTAAGAGCATGTTTATTACTAAGAAAACTAAATCAAAATTATATTTTAATTGAAAATTGAAAATTTAATTGAAAAGGCAAAGCTGAATATCTGTGGTTAAAGTGCCACCCAGTAGCCAAAAGCTGCTGACTAGAAATGCGTGAATGGGCTATTATTTCATCCGCAACCGCATGACAAAATTCATCATCCGTCCGCCATCCATCCGCAGTAACATTTTTGACCAATTTTTAAAACCGCACCCGCCCGTCATCTGCTGATTGGGCTCTTTATTTGAATGGCTTATTCCTTTTTATTATTAAATGAATGTTTCTTTATTGATCATTATAGAATAGAGAATGACTTTAATGTAGACATGCAGTTAATCCAAACGTGCAAGTCATTAATTGACGACGCTTTGAAGTGACGCTAAAGATACGAGGACGTGTCTTTTCACTTGATTCGATTCCTCGATTAAGTCTTTTCCTTGCGTCCTTCCCTCGTATCCCGGTGGGGTGGAAACACGAGGAAAGAAAGCAAGGAAAGGAAACGAGGATGCACAAATAAGAAATGAGAAGCACCCGAGCTCTCATCAGCAGTGAACTCCGTCTCCAATTGGCGCACAGGGACAAAAATAAATAAATAGCCTAAATTAAACGCACTGTACTGTACAACTTTTTTTTTATTGTAGTCTAATAGAAAACGCGTTGACACATCATTTCAACATGCTGCTATTTAGCCTACTACTAAATGCCTATTTTACTTTATTTTTTAGTAAATAGATAGAATAATAAGTCATTTACATTATAGCCTAATAATGTTTACATTTGTAGTTGTCCATAGCAACCCCAAAAACGTACCTGCTTGCCTTGCACATCTAATTAATGGGCACAGTTTTTCGACTATTTTTTTTATTATTATTTTTTATTTTTTGCTGTGGATTTTATTGAGCTTGTAGAAATCGGAAACAACACAGTTCTGCGACACAGATGAACCTTTATTTATATCTCTATCAGACAATACCTATTTTATATGCCAAAAGAAACAACAGGCAGTAAAAAAATATTAACATAAATATCTTAATGTAGGCATAGGCTATAGTCGCATGCTTTGGCAAACAGTTGAAATTTTTTTAATAAAAACGTCATATCGTGCCTAAACCTTGTAGGCTCAGTCACCCCCACAATTAGAAATTAAATTAGAAAAATAGATTTGCCATCCCTCTTTGAGCGAACATAAAGTCTGACCAGGCTAAGTGCATGTATGACAGTGTCAGGATTCAGACGGGAGCGCCTGCATAGCCACTATAATGCGCCCTGCTGTACTGAAGGAGCGCTCGCTCGCAGCACTTGTTGCTGAAATGCATATGATTCTCTTGGAAAGGTGCTGTAGTCGTGGGAATGACTGGCCTTATTTCTCCCAAAAGGAAGTAGATTTTCCTCTGCTGATCCGTCTATACGGAAGTTTGTAGAGGAATACTTCTGTACTTCATCCAGAATTAGTGTATCCGATTCCTCCTCCCATTCTGTGAAGTCAGTCCTAGGCTTTTTCGTTGGTGCGCCAGCTATGCCTATAAAAACAGTACAACCGCCCGCCACCCGCCCGAATTTAATTAAAATATTATTTTTTCGTAACGTCATCCGCCCGATCCGCGGTTTATCCGCGGAGTCCGCGGCTATAACCGCCAACCGCGCATCTCTACTGCTGACGCACCAATTACCGCCATCGCCGCGGTATGAATGGCGGCATAAGGAACACATTGAAGTAGTAACATTTGTAACAACAGTTACTGATTTACAACAGCTTTTAGGACTAAAGGTTACAGTAAAATTGGCAAGTAAACCAATGTCTTAAACTTATATATAGTATACACATTTATATTTACTTCTAGTTTTATTTTCAGCAACCTGATAAGTAAATGTGTCTCTGGACCACAAAATCAGTTTTATTTTGTATGGGTATATTTGTAGGAATACCCAAAATACACTGCACCCAGGGGTTGACACCCACCAAAAGTGGGTAGATTTCAGCTCTGGCGGGTAAGACAGCCGCTCTGACTAGCCACTTTGGCTAGTTGGAAATTATTTTTAATTGGTAGTTTTCTTAAAGCAGGGTTCGACAATAAAGATGGCCCAATATGCGTGCAAATGTGATCTTAGAATCGAGAAGCAGCATGACTTACAAAAATAACTGTTTGTGCGAGCAAAAGAAAGCGGGTGAATACCTTATGAGAGGATGATTACATTCGTGCTCCCGTTTACTTGTGTGAAACAACCGTGCATAGAGGAAACGCAACTGATGCAATTGGTTCTCTTTGAAATAGTCTGGACAAAAAGTGTTGCTCGTGTACCCACAGTCCTGCTGCGTTCAAGAGCTCAAGATTTAAATTAATATAAAATAAATATAAAGTAACACTTTTTGGTTTTGGTCAAATAATGAACAAAGTAATGGGGTTAGACTAACCATATTTTTTAACCGACAACACACAAGCCTCTCCTACAAATGGGCACTGAATTATGATCGCCGGACCTATGGTTTCTGTGCAGTTTTGCCAAAAGAGCCAGGAGTAAAAAGGTTACTATTTACCCCACCTGTGGGGCAAGTTGTAACTGACAGAGGGTTAGTTGTAACACATGCTTATGAAGTCAGATTTCACACAAATAATTTAAATTCAGTTTATTTTAAATGGTAGCTATATTTTCTCAGTAATTGGCTAAATTCTTTTTTTATTCTGAATAGCTCAGTATGGTTATTTATTTATTTGTTTATTGGATAAACGCATTTGAATCTATTTGCATTATTATCTATTTATCTATTATTATACAATGCATTTATTTGCATTATTAGCAATAAAATATTTTTTTTCTATTAAAAAAAAGTCTCAATTAAAAAACATTTTTATTTAAACAGTTTTCAATGTTACACTCAAAATAAAAAAAAAATATTGTGTTACTTTAATTGGTGTCCAACAGTGTGTGTGGCGTAATTGTAACATCTTGTAACAACTAACCCCGCTGTGTTCTGTTTTCCTCAAAATGGGCTAGCAGTCACTGTTTTTTATTTTTATTTTTTACATCTTTTATAATGGTTCCATCCTTTAGCTTAGAAGACGGCAATCACAACACGATAAGATTTTGTTATAAAAGACTCATCTGTCAAAATAATTACTAACCAGTTCTTGGTTCCCCGTGATTTCTTCCACTATGCATACAGTAGAGATCGGAAATCTTTTCAAATGATTTAAAATGCCACAACAACATGTTCAGTTTACAGTGTAAAATGCAGTTGTTAGGTACTACTACCAGCTTTTTTCAGGTGTTCATTTGGTTGTAAAAGCTAATTGTCATACTCCAAAATGACTGAACTTTGTGTGTTCTGATAAAAGATTAAAGAAAAAAAAGTTGAACAGGCAACCAAATGTAGTTGCATTATGCACATGACTAAAAAGTAAGAGTGAAACTGAATGTGTTAATAAAATCTCTTTCTCTTTTTCTCTCTCCAGACTTCCAACCCCATGAAGACATGCTGGAGATCTTGAGGACAGATTTCCAGCTGCGTTTGCTCTGGGGGAGCAGAGGAGCTGCAGTGGAGCAGACTGAGAGATACGACAAATTCAAGCTCATCCTCACGGCCCTGTCTAGAAAACTAGAGCCTGCAGTCAAACACACAGAACTCTGAACAACGACACTTTATATATATATATATATATATATATATATATATATATATATATATATATATATATATGCATTAGACTCTGAGCAAGCTGAAACTGTCCAAAGCGCTCTGTAGAGACTAAAAAGCTCATCTGCACCTGAAAAAGACGGTCCCTGACAGATTACAAGCTTCAAAAGCTCATGATCAGATTGCAAGTCGGAAGCCATTCATGAATCATGAGTTCAAATGGCACTTGTTGATGGACTTTCTTCTATATGCACATTCCAGAGGTGTGTGCTCCACCACGCTTTTGTCTGATGGAATGGGCAGGTACCAGTTTAGCCTTCAAGAAAAGAAGGAAGAGGACCTAGAATATATCTGATGACCCGTACATCATCAAGCCCAATAAAATTCAGGTAAAGTTGGAGGCTGAGAGGTGTATGTAACACTTGAAATGACGTGATGGTCCACACCTTCAAGACGAATGTTCTTAGCGCTATGAAGGAACGGGAGGAAGTTTGTAAACTTTTAGAAATGTCATTGGTCGAACAGTGTTGATCTGTTTAAAAATGGAAAGCGATGTACATATTCATCACTAGTGTACGCACGTGAAGGCTAGTTTGTATAATATATTGTATTAAGTATTATTGATTTGTAAATAGTCACTCATAAATATTCGGAAATAAAATATGGAATAAATCTCTAATAAAAGGTTTTTTTAAATCATTACAGAAATGTTTTTGTTGTGATTCCCGATACATCCTGTTATTCAGCAAGGATAGAGATATGACAAAGAACATACAGCATTGTCGTCACAGAAATGAATGATAATTTACAATATGTTAGAATAGAATATTCCTATTTTAAATTGTAATATCATTTCACAATATTAATGTTATTACTATGATTTGATCAAAATAAATTAACCATCATGGCAGCACTGTGGCTTAGTGGTTTGCACTGTTGCCTCTCAGCAAGAAGGTCACAGGTTTGAGTTTTTGCTATGCTTAGAAAAAAAAATGCCTACATAACAATTCAAAGAACAATAAACATATTTATTGAGGTACAAACGCCTGACAATGCAACAGCTTCACACATATGACTGTAGATTTGCATGTTCTCGCAATAAAAAAAGAGGGCATTTTGTAAAGTGCATGCTCAAATATATTGCTTAGGAAAATAAAGAGAAAAAGCTAAAAAAAAAAAAAAATGTCCCCCTTCTCTATATATTATTATAGAATAATTATGTCGACATCAAAATAACTGAGCTCTTTTAAAGTATTGATGACTTCTGTTTACATTCGCTTGCAATACTAAGGCAACAATGCATTTTTATTTATGTATTTTATTATGATTCCAGAGAGCTCAGTTTCACTTATCAGCACCATTGTAGAGCAAAGAGAGAGCGTTCAGCTCTTCTCTCTCGTCTTAATTCAATGGGAACAGTCAGTCGAGAAGAAAACTGTTCTTAGCAAACAGCGGGTTAACAGAGTGAATAGCGGGAGTAATCGAATGTGGAAGAGCACCCAGAAGGAGCGGGACTGAAGTAACAGACATGTCCGAGTCCGTATGGGACCAATGACTGTGGCGATTGGCTCTGACACTGTGGTGTTGTTCATCAGCGGCGGTCACAGCTGATCCTTAATAGAGGCGGAGGAGAAAACTCACTCAGCAGACATACTCTCGTCTGTATCCAGAAGTATCGCTGTGACAGCTGAGAAGACAGGAAAAGTTACCTCATGATAGCAGGTCAGAGGTCCACAGTGATAGACAGAGGGATGGAGTTTACTTTCATATTCTCCATAACAGTGAAACAGGGCTTCTGCTGTAACTTCAGTGTCAGTGAAGGACTGTCCAGCAAACACACATGCAATTAATTGTGCAGAGTTTCTGCGTTTTTAAGTATTCAGAGTGTTGTAATTACTCGCGGAGGCCTCCCTCGCCTTAGTAAACTAACCCAATATCGGGAATATGAGATGAATAGCCACCTCACAGCAAGAAGGTCGCTGGTTCGAGCCTCTTCTGTGTCAGTTGGCTTTTCTGTGTGGAGTTTGCATGTTCTTCCTGAGTTCGCCTGGGTGTCCTTCGGGTGCTCTGGTTTCCCCCACAGTCCAAAGACATGCGGTACAGGTGAATTAGGTAGGCCAAATTATCTATAGTGCATATGTGTGAATGAGTGTATATGGATATTTCCCAGAGATGGATTGCAGTTGGAAGGGCATCAGCTACGTAAAACATGTGCTGGATAAGTTGGCAGCTCATTCCGTTGTGGCGACCCCGGATTAATAAAGGGACTAAGCTGCAACGAAAATTAATTAATGAATGAGATGAATGGCGTCAGTGCGTAATCACTGTTTATAATTATTACTGAACCGATACCGTATTGTCTGCATCTGCATTGCGGTGCACCGAAGAAACAATTAATTTTGACACCCCCAGCATCCGCTGTGTAAAACATATGCTGGAATATTTGGCAGTTCATTTGGCTTTGGCAACCCCTGATAAATAAGGGACAAAGCCAAAAGAAAATGAATGAATAAATGAAATACAATAAAATCTAAAAAAAAATAAAAATAAAAAAAAACTTGACTAAAATCTCCTAAACAGTAAAATATTTGTGTATTTCAGGTTTAACGCATGACATAATGCACCTATAATGCACTGCATATACAGTATCTGCTTGTTAGAAAGCTGAACTCCTAAAAATGCCCAATGTAGATGCACAGGAACAATGAAATATACATACATACATACAAAAAAAGACAGGATAAACGAGACAAACAGACATAAGTATTTATTTCTCAGTTGCTCTTGCTCCAAAACAAACCCCAGTATATAGTGGTCAACTTTGCCTCGCTGTACAGCACATTCACGCGAAAGAAAGCATTCACACCCGACAGCATTCACTCTCTATGACTCCAATTCAAATGCAACAGGGTAAAAAGTGCATCGATTAAGACCAGGGTCCTAAGAACTGACTTCAAACAGGAAAAGGAACTGGTTACAAAGAGATTACGGCACGGTTCTGAAAAGCAAAGCCTGAAAGTCACTTGCTTGGTTAAGAGAAAAAAAAAAGAGTCACAATGGCACATTCATTCTGAAATAAAGATGTTAATACATACAGTTTAATATTCAAAACTAACTAGGTATATACATATGCATATACGCATCCATATGCATACACAGTTTGATAAGTAAGAATCACATTCACAAATACACGCACTTGAGATCAGATTCTGGAGACGTGTGGTCCCTTGTTAGGAGGCAGTGAGCATGTCTTTCAGCACGTGACACCGGGAGCTGGACAAGAAATGATGAAAAAAAAGCACCGCAGAGAGCTGGCAAGCCCACCTTTATGGGCATTGAGGATCAGATAGACCCCTATAGGGTTTTGGTTTCCATACAGAGGCCTGTCATTAAGGCGGAGATGACGGGTCGGTGTTCAAGGTCCTCGCTGGAGTTTCCTCTGCTGGTTTGGTTCCCCCTGCTGGTCAAGATCCTCCAGACTTATGCAGAGGGGGGTGGGGCAAGTGGTGGATGTTGCAGTGGGGACTGTCGCACCATGCCTCCTCTACTCTGATTGGTCATGCTTTTGAAAGTTACGCCATGGTTAAAATGGAATGCATCAATGAGCAGAAACAAAAAGTGAAAAATCAAACAAATGAGATGAAAGTGGTTGGATAAGTGGTTAGATCCTACTAAGGGGTCGGAGAATGAGGAATGAAATCATGCAGGAGCATGTTATGATGAACATGAGAAGATGGTAGAGGCAAACATGTTAGTACCAGGTTATGACTGACTCTCTTTGGGTTTTCCATTATTGCTCAAGAACATCTTTCCTCGTTCTCCCATGCCCTCCATGCATATCCCTGGAACATCTGCTGCAATGGAATGATGTTAATGGCCATGACACAAACAGCATGCAAACATGCAACCTGCCCCAACACGATCTCGCTCCTAAATTCGCCCCACCGCCCCACTAACAGACCCACAGCAGTGAGCCCCGTCCACCAAACACCACAGAACCCCAATCATCCAATCAGGAACCTGCAGCCACAGAGAGAAGAGAGAGGACAGAGTCACTGAGAGCTCCAATGACAACAAAGACTGACCAGAGACAGAGACCAAAGACAGAGGTGCTGCTCTGAAGTTACCATTCAACTTGGAATTATTATATTCTTCAGGCTGCATACTAAAAAATTACTTTGTGTCTCTATAAGGGATCTGCTAATTAGGAACAATTCAACAGCAAGAAATAAAAGGGTTTGTTTATCCCTAAATGAAAGCTCTGCCATCATTTCCTTACCTTAATGTTGTTATAAACTAATGAGACATTTGTTCATCTTTAGAACACAAATGAAGGAGTCACACTTTACCTTGAGGTTTCATTAACTAATACATTGAAGGTACTTGTACTGATACAATAAAAGCCATTGTAATTAAATTAGTGATGCATGATATTTCAGCAACAATTTCAGGAGTTGGCTGATAAATGCATATTTGTACTATAATTGTTATTGGTCCAAAAGATATAAATTGTCAGCTGATGACCTTTTGGAATAAAGTTTGTGGCCCACCATTTTTGTTTGCATTAGTGAATGATCCATACATAGGTTATTAGCTTCTAAAGTTTAACTGTGACAGGGTTTCTGCAGATTTCTTCAAATCAATTTTAAGACGTTTTAAGAGCATTATGAATGAAATCTTAGACATATGCAGGGCTAAACACTAAGGATTTCTTCTAATGACCTGGTTACTTCTGTAAATAGTTTTTGTATCAATGGATGATAATATAAATGAATGGGTTGCTTTAGCTTTCTTTCTCTGATTAGGAAATTTAATGTGAAGAATTTGCTGTGAAAAATGAATAACAGCTGTTTTGAATTGTATCTCTTTGTTCTGAGATGGATTATTGGTGATTGTGTGTCAGCCCAATTGGGTAGCTTTAGTTGGACAGAAAAATTTGTTCAAAAACTGATCAAAATGATTTAAGACCTACAACAGTGAATTCAAGACTTTGAGGCTATTATTATTATTTATTTTTTTTATTCAAGACATTTTAGGACCCTGCAGACACCCTGTATCAGTATTTTTCAGTTGTAGAGATATAACTAAGAGATTAATCCAGGACTTTTGAAGAAATTTTATATATTTTTTTAAATATCGACATTAAATAGCAATCAGCAAATAATGTATTCAGTATTCAAATATGGATACAAATAATGCGTAATCATGCTTGCTTGAGGTGCACGAGCTATTAAGGTTTATTCTTGTAAATTCTAATTTTAGCTAGAACCAGTGTGGTTTATTATTGAGTCAATAAGGAATAGTTTAAGTTATGTTCATACTTTCAGATCAATGTCTACATGAATAAATAATTTGGCTAATCATGTCTCTTCAAAAGACTTAAGAGCTTGATTCATATGGATTTATTTTCTGACCTCTCTACAAACATTTTGGCTGAAATGTTTTTGATCAAAAACTGAAATCAATCAGCATTCATTCGATGAAATCTGAATTTGTGTTCCCAAGAACAACATCATTAGGGTGAGTACATGACAGAAGTTTCTTTTTGGGACCGTTTAACCCTTCAACACTTCAGAGAAAGGTGGAAAAACTGGAAACCGCATGGACTGAACGTCAGAAGCACATCAAAACAAACAGAGCAAATGATTGGACTGTGGAAACGAGCTCCAAGTAGAACGTACTTTACTTTCAGCATGCATAAAAAGAAAAATCTCAACAATTAAGAGCTGATTGCAGTGTGACAGGCTCTTATTATGAGCAAATCATCTCTCAGACAACAGACATTTGAAAAAATCCCAATGTGTTTTGTTCAGGTTTGCTCTGACGATAAAAAAAAAAATGATTAAAAACATTTATTAAAAAAGCTCATAAAAATCTCTACAGTTCTACAGATTGATCCACTGTGCCGCAGTGCAGAGAGGGTAAAGTCACTTCAGACAGTGTGTGTGTGTGTGTGTGTGTGTTTGTCCTTGAGCTCACACAGTGAACAAAATCATATGGCAGTCAGCCGAGCTGCGCTTGATGAGTCACGGTAAATCTGACACACGCTCCTCATGTGTGATGTCATGGCAGGCATAGGTGATGTCATATGTAGGTGACCGCACCTTTGCTGTTTTTCTCCATTGTGATCTCCACGTAGGATGTGGGGACGTAACCCTCCTCTCCGCTATTTTTCCGAACCCGTGTCCAGCCATCTCCTTTATCCTCCTCTATGACGTATAACACCTCGTTCTCGTTCATCACTAATGTGCCTTCATTAGATCCTAAGAAAAAAATGCAAGTGTACTTTAACTGCATTCAACAGAAAGTCAATAGATTTTAAAGCAGCTTAAAGGTGCAGTACGTAAGTTTGACACCCAGTGGTTGAACTAGGTACTACATTCCTAGATCAAAACAAACGCAAGTGCAGGTTGCCAGAAATACCAACAGGAGCAAATCTAACGATCGAGACTAAAGGTTGATTTAAATTGTGTTCTAACTACAAGCAACAGCACGCGATAGAAGGAATATTTTCCATATTAAAATGAGTTTTTGTTCTAACCAACACCTCGAATTGATATATTAGAAACGGCTTCTATTACTTGCAACTGAACAGCAGAGAACTGAAAATAATCACCTCAGGTACACCTCATGTGCTTTATTCAGTGTTAAATGTGAGTTTAAATGCCATTTTACATCGAATTTATCGCCATACTACTGAAAGCAGCAGCAGATCAGATCTTGAAAATAAAATGAATGTGTGAAATTGAACTTTAGAACTGTGAAACAATGCAAACCATCGCGAGTGATTCAGCATCTATATTTAATAATCTTAGAAAGGTTTATTATGTATTAATTCGATTAAAAATCTTACCATTTTGTTGGAGTGCAGTAAGTGCACTATTCTGTGCTCGTGAATGGCTGTATTTAAATTTATGTCGTGTTTCATCCGGTGCAAACAGCCAAATTGCTTATCACTGCAAATCTCTTCAAGTAGTGTGTTTTGACACATGGTTAATAATGTAACCCGCTCACCTAATGTTTACGTTTGTAATATTTTTATTATTTGCTAATTGATAACTTTAAGTGGAACTCTGAATCTGCATGTCATTTCGAGTCTGCTATTGCCCACTGAAGGTCGCATTTCGGTCACGGACGCATGCTTTCAGAGCCTTTCTGAATGAATGAATGAATGAATGAAATAAGCTGTTTTCCAACAAGGCAACCTGGGGTGCTGAAATATAATTGGCCAAACTGGCAGTGGGTGGGTAAAATAAGCAAAACAAAGACAGCCGTTCTGGCACGCAGGGCACATTTTCAAAGCAGAATATCCGACTTCAGCATTGTTTTTCAGATAATCAAGAATGTTCATTTAGCATGTTTCTTAAATATCTGCAAACATCTTACAGTATTTTTATCTTTTACAAAGATCTTTAACAAACATATTTCAACAAATATTCTAGTAACATTAATTAGAATACATTGAATAAAATCTGTTTTTAAAACATCACTTAAGATATTTTTAGAGAAGCTTTCATGTGCTTTTAAATATTTCCTTGTTTTTAATAGACTAGCTTTGTCAAGACTTGTCTATGCATGTATCCTATGCATCTTGTACTTTACTTTTTATAGGTTCGTAAAGCGCTTCGAGGTGCTGCTTTTAAAGGCCCTACATAAAATAAAGTTTAGTATTATTATTGTTACTACTACTATTATTATTATTGCAACAAAACACACTTCATATATATATATATATATATATATATATATATATTTTAAATAATGACCATAAATAAATACTTTGAGAGTGGTTAAAACAGAATATGACATATTTAACAGCAGAAATTAAAATCAAATTAATTGAATTTGAAACCATTTGCACTAAGAAATTAATAGAAAATTATTATTACAGCACTGAAATACGATTTGTAAAAATAAGTAATCTAATGTATTTTTTATTTAATGCTATGTCAGCAACCAAGCTATTTTAGTGGCAAAAACACATTTCAATAATAATTATACAATTAAAATCAACAAACAAATGAGTACAGAAATTAAGATTTTTAGCACTAATACATGAACATTTTTTCCTGCTGTCACCTTGCTAAAAAATGTCCTTGCTACGTTCTTGTGTTGCGTGATTATGATTTTTTTTTTCTTTTTGTTTTGTTTTTTTCTTTTGTTTCTTTTTTTTTTCTCTCTCTCTTCTCCTGCTTCCAATCCTACAGTGGTTCCTATTGGCTTATGCTGCCCAGCGGTTTGCTGTCTCCCCCTCTGACGTCATCAAACTGTCTCCAATCCAGCCGCTGACATTGTGGCATAAAAGTGGTGACAGGACGCTCCCCCTGAGGCCCAGGATATTGTGCACACACAGGCTTTGAATATCACTTTTGTTAGACACACTAGGTAAGGAGCGTGCTCCACAAGCTGTACTTTTGTTTTTCTCTTATCTTAGTGTAGGTAAGGTAGTGCGTAAGACACGCGAAGATTTTTCTTTACAATATTGAGATTTTTATTTTTGGATAGTTAGGGTAGCAGTTTGGCCTATAGAATAGACGGTTTTGTTTTATTTATTTCTATTGTTTGGACGTCGCCTGCACCTCATCTCTCAAACTCTCCCATCACAAACATTTTGTGTCCCATTTGTTGTCTGTGATTTTCAATATATTTTTGTACATATTTATTGTTCTTTTTCTTATATACACATTTTGCACTTATTATCACTATATTTGTAAATAAACTCAATTGAGTTAGTCGTGGTATTTTGTCCCTTACTTGTTGATATTGTGTGTTTGCTTATGTGTTTCATCCAAAATTAATGTTACTATCATTCCTCAGTCCTTAAGAGGAAAAAAAAAAAAAAGTCTTCTAGAAACATTAAAAGCAGGACAGTGCAGTAAAATGTATTTTACTTTAAGAGGAACTGTGTGTTACAAACATACTATTTGTAAAACATGATCTCTTACTTAAATAAGCTTGAAATAATCTTTAGTGAGTTTTTCAGCTTTTTTTATTTCTGTTCTCTATGCAGATGATGTTGCCAACATAATCATCACACTTGTGTAACCCGGATAACCTAGGTTACTAATGAAAAGTAGAAGTGATGTACAAAAAGACAAAGAAAGCAAGGAAAATGAGCCATTTAATCATTCTGTATTAAAGTCATGGACCCTTTAAGAGTCAACGGGAGAGCGAGTGGAACTACACTGATTCACCATATTTGGTCAACAAAGGAAGTTATGATTGGAAAAGTTACAGTTGACATGTTACGGTTGAGAATATTAAATGATGCAGAGAAATGATCGAGAGAGAGAGAGATGAGACAGCAACAGAGAGAAATTCAGAGTCCCTCCACATTCAGTGAGTGGTTTCTAACTGAAATAAAGTTGTTGAGCAGAACCTACAGCATTGAAACTGTCGCTAAATTTGAGAGACTGTCATTTGACAGAGAAATTACTGTTGGATTGAAGCGGATGTGGCGGAGCAGTAAGCAGATACTGACGCGGATCTGAAGATAATTTTATTGATGAGAATACACCTTTTCACTTTGGTGAGCTAAGATTCATGTCTTTACTTTGTGGTGTTTAAATGTTAAATATCATGTAAACACAAAGTTGACACAGAGTTCATATGAGATGCACTTAAAAAGGTTGCGAGCACATCGCTCGAGCTACAGCTGATAATATATGGGCTAAAGCTATCCGACAAGTAGTAATGCTGATGAGTTAATGAAATATAAAATATGATAATTGAGGATCGTTATGATCAATGTGTGTATATATGTCGAGTAAATGTGCATATGAAGCATGTATATATAAGATATAATGTTAAAGATGTTCTATTAATTGATGTTTGCCTTGTGTTTTGAACTGAACAAGCTCAATATATTTCAAAAAGATCTGTTAAATGTAGACTCCAATATATGTTACCGAAAAACTAAATATCCCAATGACATTTTTGTCATCGTACATGTATATTGTGCAGCCCTATTTCAAGTCCTGGCAAAATTTTCACAATCACATTTCATAACACAGAAAACACTTTTGTTTTTGTGTTTTTTGTTTTTGTGTTTTCATTTCAACAAGTTAATTCCTTCAAATAAATAAAAAATATATACAATTGATTTATCTTTTATCGGTCATGTGAGCTGTATAGTAATTTAGTAAACATTGTTTTTGTACCATCAAAAGAGTAGAGAGCTTTGCAGTGGCCGATGGCAGGGAGTGGATCGTCATCATCAAACTCGTCATCAAATTCGTGAGGGTCCGGCTGTGGCGGAGACCGATGCTCCTGACTGTGATCATCTGTATAACTGCCTTCAGGACTGAACGAGAAGAAAAAAAACGTCAGCGATTCACAGGAGGCCTTTATGTTCATATATAGCGATGTAACGTATGGAGGCACAGAGCATTGAAGGTGTGACTGTTTGCATGTTTTGTTAAGAACTAAACTACAACACAATGCACTGACATCATTATCCCAGTCAAAATAAATATATAAATAACACAGTAAATGTGCAGTATATACATTGCCATTAAATGTTTAAGTCTCTAATGCTCATCAATGTTGCATTTATTTGATTAAAAATAGATACATTTTATTAAATAACTGTTTAATACACAGCACTGTGCAAAAGTCCTAAGCACTGTGCCAGCTTTGTTGGCCTAAAACCTTTGAAGAATATATAATCAATCCGTCTATTTAATAAAAACAAACAGAATATATAGGAAATATGTACAAAAATACAACACCACAAAATTTCCTCTTTAAGCAAAGGTCTGTTCAATGTGGCTTCCCTTGGGACCAAGCACTGCTTAAACTGTTTGTTTTGTTCTAACCGTCAGGATGACATTGTGTAAAATCAGGCTTCTTTTAGCACTTTCCAGAGTTCTTCATTAGGTTTCGAGTGTCTTATCTTTCTTTTTCAGTCCAGGAGATCTCCTACAGCCTCTATAATATTCAGGTCTGGACCCGGTGGAGACCATTTTATGACTCCACATAAAATTTTATCTGTTTAATCAGCTGTTTTCATTCTCGAAAGCAAAATTAAGAGCAATTAGTGAATCATTATAACACTGAAAATATTAAATAAAATGCTAAAATGAAAACTATAACCACTGAAGTCCTTTCCAGAAGAAATGGCATAATGGATTAAAACCCAACAATACTTTCAGCATTCACAATTCCATCAGTTCAGACAATATTGCAAACAACACTGGTGGAAATTTAGCTCAAAGCAGGACAAACAGCCTCTCTCCAACACTGCCTTTCACATGTCTTAAACAATTAAGCCAAAATAATCAAAACTCAAATTTAACCCAACACCTACACTACACATCAACATAAAGAATTGAAAGAAATGTATTTACCCTATATATCTCAATTTTAAAAACAATTGAGAAAACAATTTACACTAATGACTATACCATTATATCATCAGTCAAACAACAGATTTAATGTTGGCCTAAAACTTTTGCACAGTACTGTATTTAAAAATGTAGTTTTTTCCTGTGATGGCAAAGCTGAATATGACTGTAGTCTCCAGTAACACCGTCACATTCTCATTCATAAATCATTGTAATATGATAACTTAGTGCTCAAGAAACATTTCTTATTTAAAAAGCTACAAACAGATCAACAGCCTTATATTTAACAATTGTATGAGAAAAAAATGGAAAGAATAGCATTTATTTCAAACTAAAATGTTTTTTACCATCATTATCTGTATATTTTATGGTCAATTTAATGTGAACATGCTTAAATGTTTAATTTCTATTAATTATTTAAATTATTATGAATTAAGAGTTTATGATTGATTGTGGATGTTTCACGGGATTATTTAAAACACAAAAGGACCTCAGTGTAATTAAATAAACTATGTCCAAATGACATGCCTAGACTAAACAATGAGCACTGACTTAATGTAATTTTGATCAAACCATCCAAACAGCAAGAATAGCTCAAGCACTCTGCTGCACATGGATTTACAACAATTCAGTAACTCCTAAAAGGAATGAGTGTGTGTTAGACAGGCCATCTGTGTTGAGAATGCAGATAATGTAGTGAGGAAACCCAGACCTCTCTCTTCCGTGCGGAGCGTGATGGTTTACATCTGCACTGGACCGCCGCTCACTTCGAGATCCATGCTTTCCTTCCACCTCTGCTAACCAGCTCTGTGATCGAGAAAGACAAACCAACAGTGAAACAACTATTGTGTGCAACAAATCACAAACCCAAAGTCCACTTTTTTCCACATGGCCATGACATTTCAAATTATGGGCTGCTTTATGGTTTAGGAAACCAGGCAGTGTAACAGAAAAACAATTTGGATTTGTGACTTGCTTTTGTATCTGAAATTAGGATAAAGTTAGACTTGGTGTTTTAAAGTGACATTAGAATCACAAACAAATCTGTGGCCAAAGCTTTTTTTGTTTTTAGTGCGTTTTGTTCTTCTAGATTATTTTCTCTCTGTACTTAATAGAGTACAGTAATATTCAATATGTTTGCAAAACTGCAACAGGAAGTTATTCAGTATTAGTGTTGGGTAAAATTAACTTTAAAAGTAATCTTAAAGTTATCTTAAGCAGTCTTCAACTTATCTTTAATAAAAAAACAACTAAAAATAACATAAAATGTATTTTTCTCATTACTTTCCTTAAAAAGTACCAAGTAACACATTTTGTTACCTAAAGAAATAAACACTGACTTATTAGGGGAGGATGTAATATACTACTTTAAAGTAACTTTATCCAACACTGTTGTTCACATTATTCAGGGTCTGCTTAAAGTTCTAATTTGTTAAATCTATTAATTTCCTCATAATATTCAACCGATGTATAGTTTTTATAACACTTAAACTAACTGATTACATTTCAACAAAAGTTACTCACTCAAAGCATCATTGATTAAAGGAATAAGGTGGATAAAAACACACATTTTCTTGCTACAGACTCTGTATTATGACTCTTCCTCCACTAGGTGGCGCTGCAACACAGCGTCTTTCAGTTGTTTCATGTCATATTTATCCAGATGTACTTTTGCGGAGGCCGCGTTTCCTTTAGAGACCTCAACAATAAGTCATTCCTCTGGGAAGGTTACCTCATTTTTATGGATCTCGGAGCGGAGTTTCTCCATGTTGCATATGGTCTCTGATATCTTGGGCTGGAGACTTCCAGGATCTCCCATCTGGGGATTCTTCTCATAGACATCTTTCATTTTGTTGAGAGCATCTCTGGAATAAAGACAAATGGAATATTGAGATATTATTCTTCTCCCACTAATTTAAAAACGTTAAGTTATGTTGCTTTAGCATGCAAGGCAACATATACCTAAACAAATAAACACAATAATTAAAATAAGAACACTAAATACACTAAATAATAAACTAAATGATTTATTAAATATTTAAATAAATTGTTAATAATAATAATAAATCCTTACATTTATACAGCAATTTTATGGACACTTAAAACTCTTTACTCATTGGTGGGAATCTCCTCATCCATAATTCTCTGGCATCTGATTGGTTAAAACTCCTACTCCTAAAACTAATAATATTACTACTACTACTAGTAATAATAATAATAATAATAATAATAATAATAATAATAACAATAATAACAATAATAACAACAACAACAACAATAATAATATTATTAATAATATAATAATAATAATGGACAACAACGACAATGCCGAAAAAACAACAAACTATAAATAAATACTATTTTAATTTGTTAATATCTAAAATTAAGCAAGTAAATTTATAAAATAATTACTGAAAATGTTTAATTTATTTTTATTTTAAAAATATTACAATTACAATAAACAATGTAATTTTATCATCAAAATAATTTATAGTATTATAAAAAATTATAAAAGTATAATAAAAATGTATTGTTGTACAATTGAACAAGCAAATAATGCATAAATTAGTTAATATAAAATATTTTTAAAAGACATCTTGTATTAGATAATACCAAATTAAATAAATTAAAAAATGAATGCGTTTTCCTGTATTGATGGTTAGTAGCATACAGAATACAATTACAAAGATAGCAAATCTGAACAAAAACACTATGCTACATAATAAAATGTCTTCATTGTCTACCTTTGGTCCTGTTCCTTCTGCAGTTCTTTATTCAGCTCATCGATCCGCTGTTGTAGTTTTTTGCGTCTCTGTTCAGGGGGAAGGTGGCTGAGATCCTCTAGTGTTGGCGCCTGTACAAACACAGGTTATTGGTTGGAGGCAAAGATGCACTGACAAACATCCCGGCACAGTCTGAGCACACATTATATAAACAGTCACTCTTAAGAGAGATGTCTTTCCTACAGTTTAACGCTGAGCCCTTATGTTTGCATACATTCCAATTCTGGAATTCAGACGATAGTTTATAAACTTTAAGCCGCACTGTAAGAAAGACATCTTGAAGCTGAACGACAAGAGGAGTAAAGGGGTTTTATGGCTGAATACTACAACTAAACACAAAGTCTATTCTCAAACCTTATATCTAGAGTACAGCAGTCCAAAACACACTACACTTACCAGCTTTAAAGACCACTGAGAGGTTAAGGTTAGGTCACGCCAATTCAGCAAGAACAAAGACAACAAATCGCTCATCAACACCAGTCAAGTGAATGTCTTTTGGCTGATGATTTTAGCCACAGAATGGCAGGCCTACGCTGAAACTTGACTTATTGTAGTTTTAGCTCAGATCATGAGAGTATATAATAACATAGACAAAGTAAGGCAATAAAGTAGAAGCTAAAAGAGGAACAGGTAATACCGTGGCATTTGGTTTTACAGAAGTAAACCTTAACATGGTTTTCAAATCAGTGATGGATAGTTCACCCAAAACTTTGTAGTAGCCATTAACTTCCATAGTATTCTGCTAATATTGGTGTAAATGGCTAATAGTTTGTAACATTCTCCAATAAAAGCATTTTTTGTGTTCAACAAAAAAAAAAAAAAAAAGGTTTAAAAAAACATTGGGAAAAAAAGTCAATTTGACGTTTTGGGTGAACTGTCCTTATGAACTATTAGTAAAAGAATGATCCATTATTATGGCATTTGTCAAAGTTAGAGCTTTAAACACAACACATGATTTAATAAATATATCCATACAACATGCTTCTAGCAACTTGACAAATCTGCAAACATTCAGTGGGTCTAAATTAAGAAAATGTTGAGGAAACTTGTAAGATTTCAGATTGTTAATAGTCAAAAAAACACCTCACCAAACTCTACATGAATGTCCTTTTTCCCTCTGTTGTTTAGAAAAGTCTCTTTGGATATAACTGAAATTACTTTTTTCTACAAAGAGATTTACAGCTGGATCTTAAACATTTCTGGTAAACAAAATTGGTTTGGCTTTTATCCAAAACACTTTGTTCAGTATTCAAAAGGTTTTCAAAGAGGAATTATTCAAAACAGTGAATCTCCTAGACTAAACTCAATGTATATCCAGACGATGTTTGTAAATGAATTACCGCATCTCCATTCTCAAGTGTGTTTAAAGGGAGAGTTCACCCAAAATCTGCAATTGATTTACTCACACTCAATGCATCCAAGATATAGGTGACTTTTTTTTCTTCAGCAGAACATTAAAGAAGATTTATAGCTTAAACGGTGGTTCTTGGAGGTTCATAAACTGCAAGTCAATGTTTACTGGTAGATTGAGAGTAAAAAAAAGCATAACTATGCAAAAGAAAGATAATACCAGTGGCTCCAGATGATACATTAAGGTCTAGTGCCTGTGTAAGAAACTATAAATTATTTACAACATTATTACCTTTCACAAACACCTTAAGCAAAAAAAAAAAAATTTTTTTTTTAAATTCTCAAAGTGCCGGTTATCATTGACTTGAATTTTCAGAATCACCAAGGACTTTTATTGCTCTACCGAAAATAATCGCCCACAATATTAGGAAGTAAATTAACAGTAAATCTGCAGTTTTGGATGAAATATTCTGTTACGGTGCATTCACAATGACAGTGATTTCAAGTGTCAAAATAACTAAAAGTCATTTATTTTGCAATGAGAGAAACAAGCACAATCCATATCAGTTGAGTAGACCTGTCACAATAAGGATTTTTTGTCGTGCGATATACACTCACCAGCCACTTTATTAGGTACACCTAACTAGTACAGGGTTGGTCCACCTTTTGCCTTTAGAACTGCCTTAATCCTTTGTGGCATAATTCAACAAGGTACTGGAAATGTTCTTCAGACTTTTTGGTCCATATTGACATGATAGCATCATGCAGTTGCTGCAGATTTGTCGGCTGCACATCCATGATGCAAATCTCCCGTTCCACCACATCCCAAAGGTTCTCTATCGGATTGAGATCTGGTGATTGTGGAGGCCATTTGAGTACAGTGAACTCATTGTCATGTTCAAGAAACCAGTCTGAGATGATTCATGCTTTATGTCATGGCGCATTATCCCGCATACCTTGGCTGTAACGAGTTATTTGAGTTATTGTTGCCTTTTTATCAGCTCAAATCAGTCTGGCCATTCCTCTCTGACCTCTGGCATCAACAAGGCATTTGCGCCCACAGAACTGCCGCTCACTGGATATTTTCTCTTTTTCAGACCATTCTCTGTAAACCCTAGAGATGGTAGTGCGTGAAAATCCCAGTAGATCCGCAGTTTCTGAAACACTTAGACCAGCCCGTCTAGTATCAACAACCGTGCCACATTTAAAGTCACCTAAATCACCTTTCTTACACTCTTCTGATGCTTGGTTTGAACTGCAGCAGATCATCTTGACCATGTCTAAATGCCTAAATACATGGAGTTGCTTTATATAACAGCATAATGATGCAAATAGCCACAAACACTTTAAAATACATATCATTATTAAGGTTATTTAGATTCCATAATTTGATGTTGAAAAGGTAAATGTCCTATTACATATACACTATCATTTTTCCTATAAGGTAAATGGCCAAGTGTAAACTTTGCCACCGTTTAGGTAGAACAAAAATGTAATTGTAGAATGGTTTTAAATTGATTTGTTATCTCCATGATTAGTCGATATATTGATTGTTGTGACAGGCCTAGTTGAGAGATGAGGCATTAAAGCAAAAAAGCAACTCCAATGCAAACTTGTGCATTTGATTTTTGAGTACCAATGATTAAAATCACTGTCAGTGTGAAAAAAGATATAGAAATACATGTAGAAACACAAAGGACAAAAACAAACCAAAGAAAAAAAAAACAACAAAAAAAAAAAACACACACCCACCCAAAACTTCCCTCCACCATGTTCTGCTGCTTTATGCAACAAATCAAACCTTCATTTTAAACCCAGAGTTAAAACCAGGGGCACAGCTCTTTGGACCCAGATAAAGCTATATCCCTTCACACACATCAGGATCAAGATTTACTGCTTTCCTTACAAGCAGGAATTAGCTAAACCATGGGTGAGAGAAACTGGCCCAAGCGTTAGCGTAAGCTAATGTCGAAATCACAGCAAACCCACACATGCCAGGCCGACTCTTACCCCTCTTCTCACAGCTCGGAAGGTCGTGATCTTAGATTTTGCATTTCTCATTTCAGATAGATGGTTAGCTTTCCGCTCTGAAGGAAATTTAGGAGTCTGGAAATGGCTAGAGGGAAAACTCGGGCGGGAAGGAGGTGGGATGGATGGGGGAAGCTGTGACAACAAGGATTTATGGTGAACTAATAAACAAATAAATGGACATGCTAAACTTTGATCGCTCAACTAGCTGCTTAGATGATTCTAGTCTAGCTAGCTTAAATTTCATTACATCGTTTAAATGAAGGGTTCAAAACAAAAACTACTTTCTAGGGAAGGATAAACAGGAACTTATGCTATTTAAAACAAAACAAAAAAAAACATGAAAATGACAAAGTTTGTAGGTACTAACAGCACAGGTCTGAAAGCAGAAGTTAAAGTTCTACCTAGACAGACTGGTGGTCATGTGGGCTTTTATTGCATCACCTATTCTAAACAAATGAGCCTTAAAATGGAACAGAAGTCAATAAAGAACAATACATTTATTTTTTTGTTTTTAAACTCACCTTGGGTTTCTTTCCAAAGAGCCAGAGTTTGTTTTTGGTCCTGCTGATTGCGTGTTTGGGGTCTGGTTTGCCTCCCTCTGTTTTGGGGGTCCCAATGGTGCTGTCTGACCCTGTTCGCTGGATGTTCTGACTGAAGTCTTCAAAAGGGAAATCACCAGGGGGTTCAAAACCCGACTTGAATGACTCCACTACAATCCCAGAATCCTGTTCAAAGACAATAGTATGCTTGATCATATTTAGTTTCAAAAGTTTGGGGTTACTAAGTTTTTTCAAAATAAATAGTATTATAGTTTCACAAGAAAGCATCAAATTGACCTCAAGTAACAGTAAAGACATTAATGATGTTAGGAATGACTTTTATTTCTAGTAAATGTTCTTATTTCAAACTGTTTGTGTTAATCAAAAAATACAGGAGAAAAATGTCAAGATATTTGGGCAATTATTTTATCATTTACATTTAAATAATTCAAACAAAATGTTTAGTTTTTTAATTGCAATAAAATATTTCATAATATTTCTGTTGCTAGCGTCTTTTTGCTCATATAAAAGCAGCTGTGGGAAGCATAAAAGATGTATTTCAGAATTCGGATCTCTTTACGCTAAGCTATTTTCTTTGTTTTTTTTTATTAAAAAAAAAAAAAAATTCTTTTCAAACAGAGCTATTCATGTTATTTAGTAAAATGATTTTATACTGCATAAAAAATAAGTATTGCAATGTCAGCCTTTTCCAAGATCACACAGGCCTAATTGTAAGAACCATAGTGTTGGTAAACTTTTAAAGGCGGCACAAGACAGGATGGTCTGGGATGACTGTGTTTGTCTAGGGTGTGGAACCATTACAAAAGTGCTCTGGCTTCATGTCACCCGTTTAACAGCCTCTAAGCGGCTCTCTTGACCTCAGCATTCAAACAGAGGGCATTAGGAAATCTCAGTACAACGTAAGCAAGCTCGTAAATAAAAGCGTGAACAGAATCAGGTCATAATCAGAGCCAGCTGGTTTAACATCAGGCAGGGCAAGCATTGACCAATTTAGTCAAAAGTGAAAGTGAGGTGATTTAAGAAAGCAATAACATCTTTAAGCTGCCATCTATAAATTAAAGCAATTGTTATCAATGAAACAACACAGCACAATTCCTATTCACCTTACTCTCCACAAACGAGCAGGTGCAGCCATTTGAATCTTTTTGGCTCGATACTTTCGATCCCATTCACTTCCATTCACTTTCAGACATTAAAAACAGCTTGTTTTGTTTTCCCTGTATAATCCTAAAAACACTTGTTTGTAGAGTTAGCGGTTTGACCATTTTCTGCAGTTCATTAATCATGGTCATTTCTCCCATAGGCAACTAAATCGGAAGTTCTAAACCAATAGCAACAATCCGGGGGCAAAGTCCAAAGCGCAGGGGGCAAAAGCATTAAAGGTTGGTCTGAATCCACTTTTGCTATTTTAAGGAAAGAAAATGAATCTATGCTGTTTTTCTGCCTTTCTAAAGCACATAAAGCTACTATCGCAATAAAATCAATGTTAGCCATTTAGCAATGAAGCTAGAGTCACCGGGCAGACAGAAGCCCTGCCCATGACACGAATCAGTGTCTATTGTGAAGTAAAAAGTAAATTTGATGCGCGAATAAAGTGAATTTGACGTCTGAAAAAAACTCAAAATGTTAATGAGTTTATTTACACACTAGAGCGATTTATCCGTGCGTGCAGCATCTGGTGTAAACATCATTAGAATGAATAATACTTGAAGAGCATTTATTAATAATCATAGTTCAACTATTGCTAATGTATTATTAAAACCCTAGCTTCAGCTTGTTAACAGTTCATTATTTATTTCAATCATCATTTATTTTAATTAATGTTAACACAAATATAATAAATACTGAAATAAATATTGTAATACATGCATTGCTTATTGTATGTTCATGTTAGTAAATACATTAAAAGAAACGATCCATTAGTTAAATCTCAAAGTGTTTTTTAATAACTTTCAAAACTTTTTTTTTTTTTTAGAAAAATGTCTAAATATGTTCAAAGAGAAAGCAGATTTATAGTATAGTATGCTGTTTTACAATATTTCTGTTATTATTGTTTTTATTTAAATCATTGCAGCCTGGAGGAGCATGAGACCTTTCAAAAACATCCAAAACATTGCACTGACCCCAAACAGAATGAGAAAAAGAGAGGGAGACCAAAACAGAGCAAAATAAAAAAGTAATCAGTGGTTGTGGCGCCACACTCGACCTTTTCATAAGCATCAATGCTGGCGACAGCACTAAGAAAACGAGCCACTAGTGTTTCTCTCATCCTCCCCTGCTCCCAATCATACACTCCCTCGTTTCCTCTCACCCACTCACTGGCTCTAATATACTCTTTTTTTCTGTAAGTGTAGTGAACCACAGCTACCATGAAGATCACAGGTGCAAAATGACCTCGAGGAGAAATACAACACATTCCCTTGAGTTCATAAAGGAGGGCAGTAAGATATTTGAGGCAACCATAGGATGGCGGCTGGCTATCAAAATATGTTGGATGATATAACTACAACATCTAGTTCTGAAACACCTTTCTTCTTTTATGTCAGTCAATTAATCAATTTAATCAATCATAAATATATATATATATATATATTTATTTAATTCTTTTGTCTTTTATGCAATATTACAAAACATTATAAAAAAAACTTTAAATAACCTTTCTATTTCAATGTATTTAAAATATTATTTATTGCAGTGATGCAAAGGTAAATTTTCAGCATAATTACTCCAGTCTTTAGTGTCAGATGATCCTCCAAAAATCATTCTGATATGCTCCCTGTTTGGGGCTCAGAAAATCTTTTCAATTATCATCAGTGCGGTTTAAAAAAAAAAAGGTTTTGTGGAAACATACATTTTGTTAGATTCTAAATGCTTTTATATTTACTTGGAATTATTTTTATTATGAAAAAAAAAACAAAGAAAAAAAATATATACCCTTCGCTCGTCCACATTTTTAGCAGCAGTAACCATGCCTTCCAGGCATTTTGAGACAATTGGAATGACTCTTCGCTCAACCTCAGCAAAACTCCGGTACATCTCACCGAGTTTCACAGTTCGCCGTTCATCCATGTTCTGAAGATTCTGCATGAGCACAAACAAAAAGCTTCAGTCACAAAAACTAAAATTCATGCAGACATTAACAAACTCTAGCTGTCAAAAACACAGTTAAACTCCCACAAGCCCTGCAAATCCAATTAAACTTCATACAAAAATTCTGATAGTATATGAAATATGTATTATCTGACCATCCATCCATCCACCCTTCCTTCCATCCATCCATCCATCCATCCCTTCCAATTCATACATCCTTTCCAATCCATCCATCCATCAATCCCTTCTAAACCATTAATCCATCCATTCATCAAGCTATCAATCAATCAATCAATCAATCAATCAATCAATCAATCCATCCATCCATCCATCCATCCATCCAATTAAGCTAAAGCATGTGCTAAAATAAGTGTTAAGTAAGTTAAATCATGGCAAACTTGTAAACAATGTCCTAAAATGTCGCTATAATTTTAGAAACATAATAGCAATTTGTTAAAACATGCTAGTTTAGTAATACATGCTACACAGGTGCTAAAAAGTTAGTAGTCTAAAAAGCTGTTAGAAACGAGCTAAGAATGAGTTTCCAGTGTTAAATCATCCTATAAGCATACTCTGTGTTTGGTATATCATGCTAGGAAGTGTTATCAGTGCATTCTTCCATATTAGAAACATGCTAGAAACACAACAAGCAATGTAGTTAATTCTGAAAAGAAAAGATGTTAAAAATGTGTTAAACATTTTAGTATTATGTTAAACAATACAATCTTGTCTAAAACTATAGTAAAACATGATAGAAATGTGGTAAATCATGCTGCCAGTGTAGTCTAACCGATGTGCCAAAGCATGATAGAAATGTGCTAAAACATGGCAGTAAAGCGAAAGATGGCAGAAATGTGCCAGAACACAAGCAGGAAAGTAAATCATAGTGGAAAGATGCTAAGTAAGCGCTAAAACACACAAGCAGTGTGCTACATTATGCTGCAAACATGCTAAAACATGCTAACAAATGGTTTTAACTTTAAGCTTAGCTTTGATGAACTAACTCAAACATCACAATTGAATTTTTAGAAACTAAAAGATGAGAGATGTCATTACAGTGAATATCTGAGGGATGGCCTGGTTGAAATGTTTCCACTGTTCACCATTAAAGTTCTGCAACTGGGCCGCGTACTCGTTCTTGCTCTCCTCCGCCATGTGTTGTCTCAGATACAGCTGGGACTTTGCCTAGGACAGAATGATTGGTCATCTGTATTACTAATACCTCAGGAATACAGCCGAGGCTTCCAGTATTAGCCCCAACAGCAAGTGATGTTTTACAATGTTATCAGAACAAGATTCAGTCAATAACTGTAAGAATTCAAGTGAAGAACAGGAATACCTTTTCGACTTCTGACTTTGTGGCGTTGATGTCATTGTCTAACCTCTCGTACATCATCTGCGATTTCTCCGCCTCTTTGCATTCCCGTTCAAACTTCTTTTTACTCTGTTAAATCCATACAGAAATGCAGACACATGTAGTCCAAACAAGCATGACACATTTCCTGCAACCCTACCAGATCATTAATGATCTTTCTGCGTAAATACAGTCCCAAAATCTGTCAGGAGATGATGCAGCAGTGGCATACACATCCAGTCAAAAGTTTGAGGGAGTACAATTGGTTTTTAAAAAGAAGTGTATACTGGTCAAATAGCCTGCATATTCATGATCAATTTAATTATTTGTATTAACTAAATGTAATATTGGCAATGAGAAAAAGGTTTCTTCTTTGGCAGACTTTTGATTAGTAGTGCAAATCAGGGTTTCAACAGGTTTCTCCTGGTCAAATTAAAGACTTTTAAAGACCTTTTTGAGATCATTACGAATGAAATTTCAGACTTTCACAGGGAAAAACACTAAGGATTTTTTGCAATGGCGATGGGATTTTTTTTCTTGCCCTATTAAAATGAAAATTCAGTTATTTCTTAAACACATATTTTAAATAATGTGTCAAAACAAGCAATCTTGTTGTATATGTTACCAGCATTGTGTGAAATCAGGCATTCATACTTTCCATTCATACAGGCATTCTATAGATCATTTCAATGAGGTCATGTCACTGGCCCATGAACATTTCCTGCTTGTAATCAAATTATTTCTTAACTGCAACAAGAGGCAATTCAATCATATGTTAATGTTAAAACGGCTATCATAACATTAATTATCAATGTGTGGCTCTTTTTCTCGGAAGCTATAGAAATAAAAAATGTAAAACAAAAAATACATTGGGACCATTGTTTTTTTCCCACCAATAATATTAGCGGTGGCGCTTGGGTCGTTGTTTTATAATGGCGATCGAAGCACAAAAGTGTTTAACGTTATTGTAAGACATCGTATTGGCAGTACGAGGTTCCACTACCATATCACAGACAATATTGTAACAAATCAGTTCTGCTGTCATTGTTTTTCCGGTAAGAACATCATATGCTTTATTTTATATTCCATCCACTTTAAAATATGTAATGATCTATAAAGACTTTTGTTGTGCTCTTCTGACACTTTTCCTAAATGATACTTGTCATTCCATATGATGCTAAGGAATGCCTAGGAAAAGTATGCAAAATCTTTACAAAAAACTGATATTTCATACTTCATATTTTATATTTCTTTGCCTAAAACCATCAGGCATTCTATACATTTTCTATGCATTCTATACAATAGACATTGCTGGTAACATATACATAAACTTTTTATTAGCATACGTTTTAAAAGCTATAATAAACTAAATTTATGCACAACATAAATGTATGCATAAATACATGGATAACTTATAAACAAATGTTATTGTAAGGACCTAAGGAAGATAATTAAACTATATTGCTTAATAGTTTTTAAAAAACTTTTCTTTTTTTTTTTACTCTAGGGTACTTTCACACCTGTAGTTTGAGTTCAACAGTTAATTTTTCAGAGTCCCGCTCAGCTGTTATGTGTCCTTATTTTAATTTATGATGATGAAGCAAAAAGATGTGCTTTAAAGAAGGTCGCTATTTCGAGCCTTGGCTGGTTCAGTTGGCGTTTCTGTGTGGAGTTTGCATGTTCTCCCCGCATTGGCGTGGGTTTCCTCCGGGTGCTCCGGTTTCCCCGCAGTCCAAAGACGTGCAGTACAGGTGAATTAGGTAGGCTAAATTGTCCATAGTGTATGAGTGTGAACGAGTTTGTACACTGCAAAAAATACTTTTCTTACTTAGATTTTTTTTTTGTCTTGTTTCTAGTCCAAATATCTAAAAACTACTAAATCAAGAAGAATTTTCTAGACAAGCAGAACATATTGTCTTGCTTTGAGAAATAGTATGCAAATATTAAGTGAGTTTTCCCTAAAACAAGCAAAATAATCTGCCAATGGAGTAAGCAAAATAATTTTACGTCAAAAGAAAAAACAAGATTAATTTGCTTACCCCATTGGCAGATTATTTTGCCTGTTTTAAGAAAAAACTCACTTAATATTGGCATATTATTTCTCAAAACAAGACAATATGTTTTGCTTGTCTAGAAAATGCTTCCTGATATAAGAAATTTTAGATATTTATACTAGAAACAAGACAAAATATCTAAGCAAGAAAAACATTTTTGGCAGTGTATGGATGTTTCCCACACATGGGTAACAGCTGGAAGGGCATTCGCTGCGTAAAACAAATGCTGGATAAGTTGGCGGTTCATTCCGCTGGTCCGACCCCAGATTAATAAAGAGACTAAGCCGAAAAGAAAATGAACGAATGAATGAAGATGCGCTTTAATTTTGGATGGTGACACCCACAGACATCGTCACCAAATATAAATCAGATGTAAAACTTTTCATACATATCTGTTGGCTAGAATTATGCATTACAGGCTTTACAATACAGAGAAATAACAGATAAACCAAGACTGCTGTTCGGTCAATTTTCCTAACAAATAAATAGCTCTCGTTAATAGTTCAGCATGTTTTCACTTTCATAATTCCCACTTACCGCCCTACTCATAATTCTCTCTTAATATAGCCATTTATTAGATATCTATAATACATTGTGGTATAGCCGGATTCATATTTCTTTCTCACTACAATCAATCTGCTTCAGATTTCGCTTCAACCGAGAGCACCTCATTCATGCAATCTCGGACCGATGGTTTTGGAATGGATCCAAACACAGTTGCTGGATTCATGAATGCCAAACGAACCGCACTAACTGGGGAAACGAGCCAGGTTCCAGAACAAAAGTCTAGGCGTGAAAGCACCCTTACATTTTATAAACTCTTTTTAGATTCATTTGTTGGTTGTACCATTTAGGGAAGCTTTACACGGACAAAGGAAAATTAAGACTTGTTAAAATGTATTTAAGACCTACAACATCATATTTCAGTGAATTTAAGACTTTTTAAGACCCCGCGGACACCCTGTCAAATACAGAAAAACTTACAAACAAACATTCAAAACAGTACAGAGAGTGAAAGCGATAATGAAATGTGTGTAAAAAGCTTCCAGAGCATCTGTGTTTAATTTCGTGACAGTGCAAGAAAAAGGAATACCTATGTTATTACGGCATGGCCATTCTCAACGCCAGATTCAGCTGTTGCTGGCCTTAATCTGCAGCAACCATAAAGCTGCACAAATACTCCAGCCATGAGTCTACAAAACACTCGGACAGGCAGGAAATGTACGGGATGCAGGAATGTGGTATGAAGCGGAGCGAGAGGGAGAATGGAAAAGAGAGAGCCTGATAACACCAATGTGGCACAGGAAAATTTCCATTTGTGCACTGCCAACGGTCTTTGTCACTTTCTTTTGCTTTTTACTTGCACATAAACACACATACACACACATCTGGATCTGCATGTCTGGACCCCAGGTCACAGCTGGAGGAGAGGTTGTGAATCGGTCACTCACACTCTGTACAACTAGCAGACATACAAATCCAGCAATCTGAAATATTCTGGGAATCATCCAAAACTTCAGTGGTTGATACCAATACCAGGGAAATTTCATGTTTCTTGTTACTAACAGACAGCAGAGGACAAAACAGGCCAATGCAACAAAGTGAAGTAATGTACAATAATAACAAAGTGTTTCCTAACTGAATGATTAGGTAAATACTGATTCTGGGCTTTCAAATGGTGATTTAAATAACTTATAATATAAAGAAGTTAATAATTAAGTTGATTAATTATTAAGTGTTATCTCATTAAATAAAGAACAAAGAAACTTTACAACAGAAAAATAAACAAATCACACAACAAATTTAAATGTTTGAGATATTTGTAGTAGTATTAAGTAGTCAAAATGACTAAGCAATCGAAATTTTTTACAGTTGCATTATATTAATGTAATTTATGGGTTGTCACGGTTCTGGAATTTGATACATATCAGTACCGTAATTTTTAAGACATCCATTTCCCGCGAACATTTGAGCACCATGGAGCACTGTCTTAAACAAGCATTTGTTTGCAGTTGTGTTCACATGCTTAACAGAAATGCCTGTGATTGGCTGTGAAGGTCATCGTTTCACTGAACTCACCAGTTTACTGAGTGTAACCACAGATACAGGGACACCGGAACATTTTAAATTCAGTCAAATTCAAAGTTCAAGTTCACATTCAAAGGTATGTCTATAAGATGAGATATGAGTGATATGCTGATGAATCGCATCTTTAAAACAATCCAGTGTCCCTGTCTCCGTGGTTACATGCAGTAAACAGCGGTGAGTTCAGTGAAACGATGACCTTCACAGCCAATCACAGTCATTTCTTTTGAGCACGTGAACACATTGGCAAATCAGCACTGTTTACGAATGAGCTCAGTAGCGCTCAAATGTCAGCAGGAAATGGACTAGATTGGCATAGAATTCCAGTATAGTGACAACACTAAACAGTAAAACTATTAATGCTGTTGTTTTGCATGCTTCAGATAATAAAATTAATAATGTCAATTAAAATAATAAGGGTCATTAACTAGTAAAAGTAAACCATAAACACAATAAAGAATAAAAACCAATAATAATTAAATAGCATTAATTAATTTAATAATTATATGTTGGTGCTACTACTACTACTACTACTAATAATAATAATAAAAATAATAATAACAACAATACTAATACTATTAATACAAATAATAAAACATTGACATATAAATATTACTATGAAGAGAATATCTGGAGAAAATTAAAATGATTTTGTTTTTATTTTAATATCATGTAGTCAAATGAATATAAATAACTATTTGTTGTTGTTACGATTAATATTAATAACAAATGAATATAGATTGACAAATGACAGATGATTATACACAAATGTTTGTATAAATCAACCAAGTAGAGTTTCACAAGCATGTGCAGCGGAATAAAAACATGCACAGGACCATAACCGAGACTCTACCCAGTACAACTCATTTCCAGAACCAAAGTATCAGTATCCAAAATATTAGTAACGCTAAAATGACTCACATTGTCCATGTGTTTCCAGCACTGGTCTAGATACTGCTGGGCCTTCCGTCCCTCCTGAAGATGCTGTTGATCACACACACAAGCACATTATTATAGTCTTGTCCTGCACCAGCATGCCCCAGGGGTGTATTTCGGGCACTCACATGTTTCCTCTCTCCCTTCAGGTCTTGTGAGTATCTCATGAGCTCTCCATACACTTTGTGGCCCATCTCCTCTGCAACAACCTCTCGCTGACCAGCATAGTCATTCAGCTCATTCAGGATGGCGTAGAATGACAGACAAGACGTGAACCTGCAAGAAGACAATATACAACAAATGAAGAACATTTCACCATTGTTTTATAAGGCAGAAATTGAAGTACTTAATTACTACTTCCCTACACCAAATACAAATCATGCTATGAATTTGTAGGATTACAATATGTAACTATATATTAGCATGGCTGTTATTCGGTTATAAACACAAGGCTGCAGGCAAAAAGCAGGTGTGTGAATTAGAAAAAAAACAACAGGTGTTTTAAAAAAATCATTGTATATGGAACAACTTCATCCCACTGAGGTTTCAACCTCAAGCTGAGATTAACAGCTGAGCCCAAGCCAATGTTACCAATTCACAAACATCATATTAGAGCTATTATCAAAATTCAGATGATTTGCTTCATTAAAATCATATCGCTTGTGGTGTTTTCAGATTCTCACAATATAATAGGACAAGGATATCGACTTATTCTCTAGTTATCATGATAATCACAAGAATTTTACCATTTTCATCATACAAATAAAAACTTACAAGCCTGTGAAAACTTAAAATAAGATGCATTTAACGTTTAATTCATATAACATTCATTAACTTTTTATTAAAGTAATAATTTATTTTTTACTAAAAATTGTAAAATCCCTACACAAAAAATATGGAAAAAAAATTAAAAACTATTGATTATATAAATTAAAGATTTATTTAATTAACAACAACAATAGCCATTACAAGCTTTTAAAAAACAATTCTTGAGTTTTAAAAGAAATTCTGCAACGAGTACAAAGACAGTATTCTGAGACGTCATTAAAGTCACACTAAAAATATAAAAGCTATGAAAAATTAGCTCTGGAACAAATAACAGATTATTGACAACCAAAAAATATCAAAAACTAATAAAATCAACCACTAACCACCAGAGACACATATCAGAGTGAGCAGATTCCAGAAAAACTGGCTAAGGTAAAGCTTGAAGGAGGTCTTAAAACACACTGGAGCTCACATCTCAAAACTGATTTTTAAATAGACACTATCGCTATAAGTCTGACATTCTTTCTTTAAAAAAACAAACTACTAGTAAAAAAACAAACTCTAAGTAAACCGTTCTAAGACCAACGATTGCAAGTCAGATTGCACGAAAACAAAATTAGGTTAAAGCTGCTATATCCACAATACAAAAGTCAAGAACATTTTGTGTGAACATAATCACAAAAAAAGGTGTCAGGCGTGTCTTTTGGGATTCTTAAAGATCTGAAGTTTATAGTTATATTTCTTCTTCTGTCTGACTTTCTTCTGTTGAACTCAAAAAAAAAAATATTTTTTCAAGAAAGCTGAAAACCAGTGACTATTGACTGACCGTAATATTATTTTTTCCTATTATGTATGCCAATGGTTCCAGCTTTTCAGCTTTCTTAAAAAAAATCTTCTTTGATATCTTCTTCAAAGCTGTAGAATCACTTGGGGTGAGTACATTTTCTTTTTTTTGGGTAAACTTTCCCTTTAATGCATAGGTCTCAAACTTTGCAGCTCTACACAGTTTTGATCCAACCCTAATCAAACACAGCTGATTCAACTAATCAAGGTGTTCAAGACTAATAAGCAGGTGTGAGTTAGAGATGGTTGGAGCTAAACTCCGCAGAGCTGTGGCCCTCCAGGAATTGAGTTTGAAACCAACGCTTTAAGATTAATATGGAACATTTTATTTACTGTGTTTTTTGAGAGATATCGTTCTTTTCCTCATAAAAAATTTAATTGCATTTATCACCAGGCACACTTATGTTCTCAGGTTGCTGTCATGGCCCCAAGGGGACCACAGACTCCGATCAATCTGTATGTTGATATTGACTGAGCCATCATGTAAGGCATGACTAGTTCACTAAATTAAAATCAAATCACACACAGACGCACACACCAAAAACTTTGTCTCTCTTCTTTGTGTACATTTACTGGGAGGGCTGAAGATTTTTTTGTTGTGTCCAAAGCAAATGTCCCCCACCTCCAGGAGGCTGTCGGTTCACTGTATGAGGAACGTCCTGGGACAAAAACACACGCTGGGAGAAATTATGCCTATCTAATGGAATTCATGATGGGATATGGGAGGGTTTTGAGCTGACACCCTGCATATACTCCCCCATCTCTGCTTTCAACCTAAATCTACAGCCAACAGGGCGAAAACACACTGCTTAGCAAAGCAACTGCAGCCCAATGTGTAAATAATGTCATGAGCTCAACTGTAAAGAATGAATGGTAGCTTAAACTATCAACAAAACCAACAGTCTTAGTAAAACTAGACGATTTCCGCAGTGTATTGACCATCAAAAGCAATTCAGCACTTTTATCTGTAATCATTGATGGCAGCCTAAATGAACAGCCAAACAAAACATAAAATTAATAGTTTTAGCTAAAGCAAATCGACTTCATAGAGATGCTGATGAAAGCAAATGTTGAAAACAGACAAATGATCTGTTAGATTATTGACCTTATTCTCCGCAGACGAGCGGGCGCTGCCATTTGAATCTTTTTGGCACGAGACTTCCGGTCTTATTCACTTCCATTCCTTTTTAGACATTAAAAACTGCTCGTTTCACTGTTTGATGTAGCAAACTGATATTTCCTTGTTATATTATTCTACTTGGTCTGTATAGTCATGCAAACATTTGTTTGTAGAGCAAGTAGTTTGACCGTTTTTTACATTTATTATTCCTTGTCATTTCTCCCATGGGCGACTGAAACGGAAGTTCTAAGACAATTGCGAAAACAGGCGCACTTCCGCATTTTAGAATAAGGTCAATATCTTGTCAATCAAACGCATGATTTCCGCTACATTCATTTGTCCATGGCGGGGCGCCACGCCAAAATTCATCCATCCATGGCTACATTAAAGCTTCTCATTCAAAACATTTTATTTTTTAATAGTAGGTTATAATCGCACCAAAACGTATTAAAGGGTAAGTAAATTGCAACAGCGCAAACTTTTCTGTTACCGTAATAGGGCTGTGCGTCATTTGTTTAATCCTTTAAGGTTACGTGCTGACTGACTGACTGGCTGACAGATGCGTGATGTGTAAGGCCAGCAAACACGACGTATAGCCGTTTCACTTTACTTCAGGATGCATAAATGCTACTCTGTAGGTCTATTAGAGACATTCATAAACATTCCTAGCAAATCTAATAAATGCTGGAGACATACCCGTTACATAAACGCACTAAATCGCACTTTAGCAGCATTTGTTTGAGAGCGCACAAGAAGATCTTGAAGCTCTTATAAAATCTTGAAGCGGCTTATATATGAGGTGGCATGCAAGACGTTTTGTGCACGAGCAGAAGTAATCGGCGTGCAAGCAGAGATTTGCATGCTCGTACATGTAGGTTATTACATAAATTTGATCTTGACTTCTAATACTGCACTCACGACATTTGTCATTGAAATAAGGCCGCAGGTATTTGGTAGATCTATGTAAAAAAAAAAAAAAAAGAAAAAAAAAAAAAAAGAAAAAAAGGCCTGCCGCCACAGCTGGAAAAAATCCTAGAGGAAACACTGAAACTCATGCTGTGTGTGCAGAAAATGTGTCTAGTGTGGAATTACTTAAAACTGAGTGACATGGATGACAAAATAACACAACTAATTCGATCACATACACTAAAGGACGTTTTATAAGATTTATCTTTTTAATAGTAATAATAATAATAATGATGATGATGATGATGATGATGATAATAATAAAATAATAATAATTCATTACAATTATATAGCACTTTTATAGACACTTAAAGTGCTTTCCATATTGGGGGGTATCTCATCATCCACCACCAGTGTGCAGCATCCAACTGGAAGGCGCAACAGCAGCCATATTGCACCAGACAGCACGCCAGACACCAGGTGATTGGTGGAGAGGAGTGATGAAGCCAATTATGATATGAGGATGGTTAAGAGGCCATGATGGACAGAGGCCAATGGGCAAATTTAGCCAGGATGCCGGGTTAAACCCCTACTCTTTTTCGAAGGACATCCTGGGATTTTTAATGAACACAGAGTTTAACGTCGGTTTAACGTCTCTTCCGGAAGACGGCGCTCACTGACAGTATGGTGTCCCCTTCACTTAACTGGGGCATTAGGACTCACATAGACTGCAGGTTGAGCACCCCCTGCTGGCCTCACCATCACCAATTCCGGCAGCAACCAGGCTTTCTAGTGTGGTCTCCCATCCAAGTACTGACTGGGCGCAGCCCTGTTTCACTTCATTGGGCGACCATGCGGGAGTTGTAGAGAGCTAGCATCCGGCAAAGAGAGCTAGCTGCCAGCAAAGAGAGCTAGCTGCCAGCATCTTTTTCAATTATGGTGGTTTTTATTTGCATTTCTTTTTATATTAATACAATTATAGTTTTTTCATTAACTTAAAAGATTAGATTTCATTTAAAACTGGCAATGTTTTTAAGGCATACTTTTACTCTCAAATACATCCACACTGACCAATCAGAAATCAAGAATTTTAGAGATATGTTATGCACTACCTCTTTTAAAATGCATATGTTATCCATTTCTCAGTGAATATAGACTACAGCATATATGTTGGTGCTTTTAGACAAAACAGTTCTATTAAATAATATAAGAGTTTGGTCACCTAACATCTTTAGCAATAGGAGGTTAATACAGTTAAAATCTTTGCATTGAAAAACTACAACATTTAGACTAAATGTAATATTTTTATGCTTCTTTTGATTTTACCTCTTTATTAAAGTTTAATTTATTATTTTCCCTAACATTATCATTAGGGATATTTTCACCAAGACCTTAAGTTATTTTGCTCAATTAGTTCCCGTTTTGGCTTTGGTGCTGACTAATCTAATCTAGCATCCCATACGTATTGATTTAACAGGGAGATCAATAATGGGGGTAAGTCCTTTATGCTGAGCACTGTATATGTGAATCAATAGAGGATATCCAGAAGGACTTTTAATTTTCAGTCACCAAGTTAAAATGTTTCCGGTAAACTGTATGCCATTACAAATTTGCCACGTTAAACGTCTGTGATCTCACTGTCTGATTGATATACAATATAACGTGGGTCTCAGAATGTACAAAAATCACTGCATTAAATTACACTTTTTCACACCATGTCTTTAAAATATGAGCATTTATTTTAATCCAGTATTTTCAATAGAGTTTCTGCTGACCCTGACGACACGTGCATGTAAAAGGATTTTCATTTGAATAACTATTTACTGGTTGCATTCTAAATACAAAATGCTCAGGGGTAGCTTAAATAATGTATCGGTGCTCTTTGAGTAAAGGATTTATCAGAATAAACAGTAAAAATCAGTCCAAGGCACTTGAAAAATGTAGAAAAAAATATTAAAAAGTATTTATTGACATGGCTATTCCTTAACTACTAGTAGTTTTAAGAAATAGCCATATTAATAAAAGCTTTTAAATATTTTTTTTCACACTTTTTTATACTGTGTAAAGTAACCGTGTAAAACTGAAAAAAGTCACATTAACTGTTCACTAGATAGTTATTGGTAAAACACTAGCTTCGCATTTACCCTATTTAAATAAAATTAAATAAATAACTCCAATACAAATTAGAATAAGTCATAATGCACCAAAGAATGCATCTCAACTCACCTGGGCTCATCGTCTTTGGAGCGCTTTGGGCAATACTTCTTAACCAAACTCCTGTTGGACAACAAAAAGAAACATTCAGTACACAGAGAGAAAGAAAATAAACTTCTCATGTAATAAATAAATCAAGCAAAAGCTAATCATTAGGGATTATAATATCCCTCATCATCAAATCGCAACTTATTTATACCACAATGAAGTCAAAGCAAGAGCTTGCCTACAGTGTGTTTACTTTGCGCATCAAAGAATTAAAACAGGCCACAGTAAACAGGCAAAACAAGTGATGGTATGCTAATCTGTCTTCCCTCTTCCCTCATCCCCCGCAGTGTAAACTCAAGGGAAGGAAAGCAGAAACAGATCTCATGTAGGAGCTCTGGAGAGGAGCTCAGGCATGTTGCTTTCTTCAGGGATGGGGGGATGGTGTTTTTTGGGGGGGTCTGCCGAAATATCCAGAGCCCCATCAAGCAACATTAATGATGGCTGTCACTTCCTTCATAAAAGCTTCCTCAAATCCATTTCATGAAATGGATCAAACAAAAAACTGACTTCCCCTCTTCCCCTTGGTGTGGTTATGATCAGCACACCCATAACACCAGTGTCGTGGCAACCTCTTTCAATTTGGATGATCTCGCTGAATTAATGTTTGATGTGCACTTCAAAGTGTTAGATTAAAATCCTCAGCTTTTAAATGCACAGTGAATAGTAGCACTGCAAATATCATCCAAAATACTTTGTCACCGTATAATTTAGGCATTATTCACGAATTACACCCAAGACATTTATTTATTTTGTGAGTGTACGTGTTTTTGGGACACACATATGAGGACACACATCTGTATAATGACATAGGTGTGACATGTGTTACAAGAAGGGGGTGAAATATGCGGACATTGTTGATGTCCCTATTTCATAAAAAGCTTATAAATCACACTGAATGAGTTTTTGTATACTGTTTCCAGTGAGGGCTGGATTTAGGGGTGGGGGGTTAGGGCAATAGAAAATACAGTTTGTACATTATAAAAACAAATGGAAACCATTTGTGATATCCCCATAATTCACAAAAACAAATGTGTGTGTGTGTGTGTGTGTGTGTGTGTGTGTGTGTGTGTGTGTGTGTGTGTGTGTGTGTGTGTGTGTGTGTGTGTGTGTGTGTGTGTGTGTGTGTGTGTGTGAGAGAGAGAATATCAGAATATTACAACTCACTAATTTTAAATAATTCTTCATTAACATCTAAAATATTATTTTTTATTTTTATTTGTCAGAAATGTAAAATTTCTAAGAAATCTATATCTGCATTTAAGTGATTTGACATGTTTGAAGAATAAAGATTAAAACAAAAATTAATATTATGATAAAACCATAATACTTTAACCATTCCATACTTAAAACATTATTGCCTACAACAAGCTTTTCACTCATCATAGCACACGTGCTGCTGCTGATGTGACAATAAAAGTGATTTAATTTGAAAATGTTAGGAAAAGAAGGTGGAATAAACTATTTAAAAGTAGAGGCTCAGGAGAGGCACCCGGTGTGGTCTTCTGCTGTTGTAGCCTGTCTGTTTCAAGGTTCGACGTGTTGCACGTTCAGAGATGCTCTTCTGCATACCTCCATTGTAACGAGTGGTTATTTGAGTTACTGTTGCCTTTCTATCAGCTCGAACCAGTCTGGCCATTCTCTCTGACCTTTGGCATCAACAAGGCATTTGAGCCCACAAAACTGCCGCTCACTGGGCATTTTCTCTTTTTCGGACTATTCTTTGTAAACCCTAAAGATGGCTGTGCATGAAAATCCCAGTAGACTAGCAGTTTCTGAACTAGTCAGAAAACAACCATGCCACATTCATAGTCACTTAAATCCCATTTCTTCCCTATTCTGATGCTCGGTTTGAACTGCAGCAGATCGTCTTGACCATGTCTGCATGTCTAAATGCATTGAGTTGCTGCCATGTGATTGGCTGATTAGAAGTTTTGCACTAACGAGCAGTTGTACCTAATAAAGTGGCCGTTGAGTGTATTTATTTTATTAATCTAATTTCCATATTATAAGATGACAACTGGATATATATAATAATAAAAAATAATATGCTGAAATGCCTAGCTTCTTTTCAAGCTAATAAACAAAATAATGTATCCTAAATAATAGTCACTTGCAACTCTACCTATTTACAAAAACAAACCAACGTTGCAGAAACACGTTTAATAATAATATAAATAAACAATATTAAAATAAAATGTGGTTAGGCTCTATTTTACAACAGCATTGTGGGTGTTTTTGCGAGTGTCAGTGGGGGGTTTTGGAGAGCAGTGTGGGACCTGTCAGGTAGAATGAATGTGCTGCTACACCACAACCTTCAATGAGCTTTGAGAGGGGGGAAGAGGAGCGACTCTAACGCCGTATCCAGGCAACAGCAAAACGTCCACAGGGACCAAGACGTCCCGAAAGAGGACAGGAGAGAGGAGGCCCCAGCTGCAGTCACCAACGAGTCCTCTGGCGAATTCACTGCATGTCTCTCGTTCTCAGTTTGATCTTGTATCAAATCGTACAACTTACAGCCTGCAGGGATTTTTGACCCCTGATGTGTCTCTCACCTTTACATTCAATCCCACGGCAAAGACGAATATTAGCACATAAGAGAACGATAGAAGGCAACCAACAAAAAAAACAACTAAACAAATGAAATGGATCAAAGCAGATTCTCATTTGGATGATTAAAGCCCTACTATAAAATGGATTAATTCAGATGTAAATACCAACTGGATAAGTCAGTATACTGCCAATAAAAGAACACTAAGACTGCAAATCAGGTAAATACTATAAAGTAATGTGCATATTTGTTTAAAAAAGCCTACAAAAACAGAAAAGGGGGTATTTTTTGTATCAAACACTCTGCTTGAAACTTAAAACAGACTATTAAACTTTTTTTTTTTTGTTTATTTATCTGATAGCTATATGACTGTGAAAAGGGTAGGTGTAAATGCACGCCGAAATGCATTTAAGAAGGATATACAGCACTGTGCAAAAGTCTTATGGCCCATATCCACTGAATGGTACAGTACGGGTCACATTGATCAGGCTTGAGTTTCAACTGTTAAAAGGCTACCAATGGTACTGTTTTGGTGTGCTTGGTGTACGACATAATTTCAGTCGACATCATTCCCGCTCAAGGAAATGACATGGTAAAGCTGTAGGGTCGTTCACATATCATATGAGAAGCACTTCTCACAAAACAGATGCTTTATACACATAAATACTTGTGTATAAATGTTTATGACTAACCTTTCTATTAACATGATTTGATTATAACTGCAGATCCATGATATAAATAGCCTACTCCAGTCTGCAGTAATATAAAATAAATAAATGTAACATATATGAACACATATAGACCCTTACAGTCTCCGATATGTTACGAACTACAGAAAAACTAATCACAGCATACATTTAGTCCTTATTTGGCTTCAAAAACAACACGCAACATTTAGCCTACAGTCAGTCAAATGTAACCTCTTGTTAGAAAGTAATTCCGTCATTCTGAGTTCATAATAGTCCAAAAGGTGATAATAATATGTAAACATGGCAGTTGTTTTTTCAGGCTTCACTCTCACGTTTGTCCATTTCTAAAGGATCGAATGTCATCAATAATCACTCGCACTTTATTATTATCAGCTCAAAAAGTTATTTCAAAGATAGACACGTGGCGAGTGCATGCGAGAAAGCAAACCCGCTCATGCTTCAAATTACCTTTTAAAAAAACTACGGGGCACAGGGTAGATTCCGCTCTTCGTCTTGACTTTGTGGCTGTTCATCAAGATGACAAGGTTTGATTGAGCTCAGGTCAACCAGACTCGTTATGTATATTTTATTACAGTGTAATGTCTTGACTGTGTTTTTAAAAATGACGGTTTCTTTGTTTTTATTTTCCTGCTTGTCCACGAGCGAGTGACGTATCTCTGTAAACCAATAGCATTCAGCTGCGCGTCTAGCTCCGCCTTTTGGTAACCTTTTGTTGTGCTAGGTACTCTTTGAAAAGGGTACCTAAAAAGTGGCACGGTACTGTTGGCTTTTAGGTACCTTTTTGACAGATGAAACAGCCATAAAAGCATACCAAACCGAACCGTACCGTACCGTATTGCACCACTCAGTGAAAGCAGGCCACTTGTATTTGGGGGACTAAAATAGTTTTAACACATAAAAGTACCCGTCTAACAGAAATACTTCAGCCATTATGTCCTCCTTCCTCCTACTGTGCAAAAGCAACTCCAAAATTGATTCAGAATTTTAAAATGTTTTGATTCAGCATTTGTTTTTACTGCTGTCACACTTTGCAAACATCGGATCTGTCTGCACGAACAGAGGTGCCCAGATGTACAAATCTACATTTGTGGACAGTTTGGGTTACTTATCAGAATTATAGGAGATGTCGGCCAGACAAATTTTAATTGGATGAACATGTTTTAGTCTTATCCCTTACCCAGAATATAAAAATACAAATAAATACTTTTACTTTAATCATTACTATTGGAATGTGAAGAGACTTTCAAACAGCACAACAAAAAATGTTTCTGAAGACAATCACCTTCTGCACCTTTATGTTAACCTTTACAGTTATTTAGCAATTCTTTCACGTAGAATAGAATTGCAAATAGAGGTCTCATTTAGCCTATAATGATGAGGCCTGCCTTGTGTGCTGATGTTTTATTAAAGGGTCACGAAACACCAAAACACATTTTTGAGCTGTTGACTGTCGTATGTGTGTCCCACACTGCTAAAAACACTATTAGGACACCTATATTTCACTAAAAAGTGTAAATTGGTTGTTTTTGATTTATTTCAAGCAAATTCGTACTTCCTGCTTGGAACAAATTTTTGAAGCTGCGTCACGGTCATGACATAATAGCCTGTATTCCAGCGTGCAGACTGGGCGTCTGTGCCAGAGTGAGTCTTATTACGTCTTACAGTGTGTTGCATTAATGCATGAGTAAGGCTTGGTTCAAACCAATCAGCGCGCTCTATTGTGCAACTTCATTAATATTCATTAATGTTACAGTGTAGACGGCAAAGACGCCATGTTGTGTTGGCAAAACAAGCATGAAGTGTTGCTTTTATAGTTTGCTGCCGTTAAGTTTCGTTTTCATTTTCTCTCTGTGAGAGCTCAGACTCACGCGTGGATTAACAGTGTACGCGACGCTCGACAACAATAACTTACGTGTCTAAGGAGGAACATTGTTTACCTGAGAGCTGTTCTCATCTGCAAACGCTGAGATCCAGATTCGCTTGTAGTCTCCTCTAAATAAAGACGCGGCTCTAGTTGCTGGTGATTGTCCTGTCTCTACAGATTTGGTAAGTGAGCGACCAGTGCTCTTTGTTTATTCAGTTCGTATTTTATTCGTATCAAACAAACTATTGCACCGAGTGCAATAGTTAGCACTAACAGTTACAACCAAACTATAACCTCGTGTTGGATTTTGTGACCGGAATAACACACGCGGCTTTCTGACGCTACCTGCCGTGTGTATCTAAGTTTCCGGGAAATGCTGAGTTTTTTTTTCTCTCATTCGCAGTGCGGTATCAAACATTGCATGAAAAATACACGCTTACAGCAGCTCTTCGAATCAAATATCACGTTTGTCGGGAGGGACATTAATGAATTCCCTGAATGAAAGAGCCAAACTGCAGTTAAAGTCCACCATTTAATCATTTGGCAAATAATTCGACTACAGATGTCCATGTAAACACAGTCACATTGTCCGCTGTGGGTGTGTGTTTTGACTCTGAAATTCAGCGCGCCCAAATAGACACTCCCATACCAAGCCGCTTTTCTTCCTCCGACACTCCCCCCTAAACAGAGCTGGACACGCCCACTTTTCTGACTTTTTCCAAAGTAGAGGTGTGAAAACACCCTGCTGAAACGAGGGGGTTTCATGGCCCTTTAAAAGTACAAAGCTTATAGCCTACATGAAAAAAAATAATTTGCATGCCGAGCAAAATAAAATAGCTAACATTTCTGTAAAAATAACAGTAATTAAGTATTAAGTGTTAAAAATGTTAAATTAATGAGCAAACAGTTTTGGTATATTTTATTTACGTAGTAACAACTAAGTGTCGACATTAAACTCCATCAAGACGCAATGTATTTACTGTCCAACTTTAAGTTATTCTTTAAAACTCCCAAACTGAAAACATTTAAACGAACTCAAAAGTAAACCAAACTGAACAGCACCAAGCAGTGGAATGGACATGCATTTTTAGTAAACATGGGTAACAAGGATCAAATCTGGATCCGTGCATCAGTATGACTCCCTCAATATCATCCATTTTTCATGATTCTACATAATACATGTTTTATTACAGCAACAGAATCACTCACTGACGTTGGATGACATATCAGCAGAAGTTACATGTGATTATATGCTCACCGTAGCTGCTTTGCATAGGCCTGCTCGATCTCCAGACGCTCCTTGACAAACTTTGCATAGCGCTCTAGGAAGTCGATGCCCCACTGTGTGTGTTTGTCGAGATTCTCGAACTGGTCCTGATCAAGGAAGAAAGCAGAAAAGAGAGAGAGAGAGGTCCGGTGAGAGGGAGTTTGATCTGTCACTGAGCTTCTGCTGCCAGACAGGAAACATGAATATGGACAGACTTGTTTGAAGAATACTGAACATTTACAATGTGAGCGCGGAATAGAAATCAACGCTGAAAAAACATTCATCTAACAAACAAGGATTGTTTCACTGTACATCCATGACTTCAGAGGAGGGGTATTTTTGAGACTAAAGTGACAGATTTTGTGGTGAAATTTCACAAACTCACTTAATTTGCTGCGATTCTTTAAGTGTTTTGCTATAAAAATAAAAACACAATCTTTCCTGCCCAACAACGTTTATACTATAAACTGATCCTCAAGGCTTTATAACTCCACATGTGCTACACAATGAAACAGTTACATTTTGTACGTTGTACATCAAATTCTGTGGGGGTATGTATGCATATGTTTTTTGAATGTCCACCTATCAGTACATTTTGGCATAAGGTCTTTTAAGTTATATCAGAATTGTGTGATACGTTTATTACTAAATACCCCAATATCTGTATATTTAATGATTATTTGTAACTCAAACATGTACCAACGTAGGATATTTCATTCTGCACTACCTGCAGCCAAGAAGGTTATATTTCAAATTTGGCATAAACCCACATTCCCAGCAGACAAATTGTGCCTTATTGAACTAAAAAAATATTGTGTTGTTAGAACATTCTACAGCAAGAATTAACAGAGCTAAAATCAAAACAATCAAAGTATGGTCTGAATTTATTGAGAAAATTTCTTATATAACAACTAGATAAACTAAAGTGTACTCAAAGATAAATAATATTATATTAGAGGTGTTTAAAGGTCACTTTCACACCCTAGATTTTGTTTTCTTTTCCTATTGTTATTTAATTTCTCATGTATTTTCCTTTAATGCAAATCCTGGCTTGTATATAGTTGGTGCTAGCTATGTATGCTGGCATTGTTCTGTAATAAATAAACAAGCACAAAAAATTAAATACACAATCTTCAATAATTTACACATCTTAGTTCATTGTAATTTTCTGACCTTGAGAAACTTTGATCTCTGTAATCTTTATGTAAAGGAAACACTGAGAGAAACCAAGTAAAACCAGAGTTTACCCCTAAAGCCTGCTGTGTCATATTTGAAAATGAAACCAATTGTTTGAATATAAATGCCAAGTCATTCAATGTTGTTTAACAGCTATTTGAACAAGACGAAAAACAATTTGAGTGAGTGAGTATTAAGACTAAACTTATAATGACAGATGCATATATGCAATATATAGTTTAATAAGTGATACAACTCACATGGCCTAGTTCAAACAGGCTTTGAATTCACATTATACAGATCAGCCCCCAGACGAGAATCGTGTTTTGTGAACTCGAGGTTGTGCACACCGGACTGAGCACACATTCTATTCGCAATTACTATGCATTTAAATGTTAAATGTATAGTGTTCTCTGTAAATGCAGATGGCGCTCTGTGGTGAGGGAATTTGAACAGTGTCTTAACTGACCAAAATATGCAGAAAATTTTCGCAAATTAATAATTGCTTAAGGAAATGTGATTTTACATTAAAATCGGCAATTGCAAAATTGCTAAATCCCGGAGGGTCTGGATTCAGTGCTTTAAACCCATTTTCAAGCAACATGTACTCAAAAACTTATGTTTGAAGTTTGGTCAAACTACTCATTTAAAATGACCTGCAATTATGAGTTTTTTTTTTTTTTTTTTTGGGACTTCATTGTTTTATGCTCAATCCACTTAAATTTGTTAACTCAAGTCAAACATATTGTCCTAAAACAAATTGTGACGGAACCCAGCCTTTTTTTTTTTTTTTTAACAGTGTGAGAGGAAGATCATTCCTTCCTTAAAAGGCACGTTTAAAGAAAGTGTTAGCAAACATGATTTTCCTCCACACTTAATTTTCATGCCACAAAAATGTGTATTGGGTTGTAAATATAGGTACCAGCCTCCTCCACCAAATCTTGCATTTGTTATTCCAGACATGCTTAGAATGATTTTGTGTTCTTCGTCCAGCTTGGAAAAAGAATCGGCAGAGCTAAAAGTTGCAGCTAAAGACTGTTACATCACATTCCTCACCACCAACCAACCCGACATCACAGACATGGTGGATCCAAACACAGTCCATCTGCGTTCTGAGCGACAAACAACCCTACAGAGGAGTAAGTGACATCCACAGCTTTACATTCTAGGTCTATTTATGGTAAAGCCGTGGATGTAGCCAACCTGAGAATACAGCAAATACTGAAAGAACATAGAGCTCCTAAAGTGACTAATAAGTAGCTTAATCACTTGTTGTAGGGATCACAATTTATGATTTAAAATGACACCTAAAAAGACTGATATTACACATCATGAAAATTGACACATTTTTTGGTAACACTTTAGTTACCGATTCTATTAACTAGTGACTTATTACCAGTGTTGGGGAAAGATACTTTGGAAAGTAGTGCATTACAATATTGAGTTACTTCCCCATAAACTAATAGTGTTACTTGTTTACTTTTTATGGAAAGTAATGTGTTATATTACTTTTGAGTTACTTTTGTGTTATTTTTCCTTACCTAGCTGAAGTTTGATCTATTTCAGAACTTGCAGGTGTTTTTCACCTCTTTTATGGAGAATCTCTGCATTTAACAGACACCTATATAATCTACACCTTCATTTTCCTTTTAAAAAATATAGGATAAAATTTTATTTTCAGAACTTTCTGAGCCCAAAGCTATACATGCTGTATATACAGATTGATGAAAGCATGTAAAGTAATGTGTTTGCTACTTTTTTGAGTTATTAGTTACGTAAATTCACTATCCATTGAGATAAAGATTGCAATAAAGCCTTTAAGTACTAATGAGAAATAATTTATATTAAGGCAAAAACAGATTTTAAAAAGTTTAATAACAAAATGGACAGTAAGACGGTAAAATAAAATCCCCAAATCAAAACAAATCTGAGCTTGATACATTGAATAAACTGCTGCACGAGGCCATAACAAATGTGTAAATAATTAACCAAAAGAGAAAAATCTTACTTTCTTTGCATCATCTTCATTGTATAAACAAAAAAAAAAAAAGTAGTATTATTAAAAGTTACAAATGCAAATGTACAAAAATTTAAAGTAAGCAAGTTACAAATTTCTTGTGCTTGAATGCTTTAAACTTTCTTGAAATGTTTGTACAGTAAAAGGCCTTAAAAACACAGGCAGATAAAGGCAGACTTACACACATACAAAAAATAAAAAATGAAATAAAAAACTAATTATGGCACCTGGTCATCTATAAACACAACTCAACATTGCATATCCTACAATGTGACTATTGCAAATGCACACATTGCGATATTGATGCTAAAACGTTATATTGTGCAACCCTATTCTGTATGTCTGTATGATCTTAATCTACATCCCTACTCAATACATAAACCTAATTACTATCTTAATAACTATTAATAAAGCACCAAATTCAAAGTTTATTAAGATAAAAGTCATATCTAATGGTGTATTAGTAGCAAAAATTGTACCTTATAAAAAAGTAAAAAGAAAAAAAAATGTTGTTTAAAATAACAGAAGGTTTTAATTGATATTATTGAAATCTTGTGTTGACATCTTTTTTGTTATTTAGACCAATTCTCATTTCATGCTCTACATGGTATTTTTTTATTTTTAAATTTTAAATTTAGAAAATTAAAACAAATAAAAAAAATTTAGTTGCACAAATATAAAATCTAAATCCAGAGATAAGGAGAATTTCTAAGGCGTCTCCTAATTGTTTTCAATAGATGGGTGCATATTTATTAGCGATCTTATTAAACTGCTAACACAACAGTAAGTATGTTTACATGGACACCAATAATCAGATTTTACTATGATTAAGACAGTACTCTGATTAAGAGTCGACCATGTAAACAGCATTTTTTTTTTATTTAATCTGACTAAAGTCAAAATCAAACTAAACAGAAACCGGATTAAGACGCGTGGAGTATGCCAAATTTAGAACAGTACAGACATGTAAACACCATAATCAAACTTTTACCATTGTGTAGGATTTTCGCCGCATTTTGTGACAGGATAGTCTATACAGACATGGCTGTGACACCATTCTCAGCACCTACTGAGTCAGAGAGAGAAGGACCCCAAACACCTGCATTGCGAAATGTATATATATATATATATATATAAAATAAATATATATATATATAAATATATATATATATAAATATATATATATATATATATATATATATATATATATATATATATATATATATATATATATATATATATATATATATATATATATATATAGTTTTTGGTGGACTGCAGTCTCCCACTTGAGACCTGTCTTCATGAAACTTGTGTGAAAGCCGCCACAGGCTGTATATTTTCAGTCTGTCATAGGTCCGTTGGAGCTTTATGATGATGATGACCTCTGAGAAGTAGAGGCTAAAAGAGAGAAACAGACAAGCTGTGTATTTGCCTGAGGCTGAGCCAGGCTGTTCACAGGGGGCACAAGACAGTCTAAGCACTGTTCAACAGGAGACAACAGACACAAAGTAATGCAGCTTCAAAGCTTCCAGCACCAAACCTAAATCTGCAATGCATCCTAATAAACTATGATGCAATCAATCTAAATATACATTAGTATCGTTTTATTACACTGTTCCTGTTACATTGTTAAGTAAAAATACTTTTTATTTTCTCTTTCAGAATTACCTGGTGCCTATACTAGTCGATAATCAGGACCATCCAGAATAGTTGTAATAGATACTATTTTATTCTGTTTTTAAATCATTTTCATGTAATTTATTTGTCAATTTAATTATGGTATTATAAATGATGCTACATTAAAATAAATAAATAGATAAATAAATAAACAAATAAATAAATAAATAAATAAATAAATAAGAGTAGACAGGCTAAATAAAGCCAGTTCACTGTCATCCAGTAGGTCAGCTT